ACAGCCTATGGAAAAGAGACTTCCGGTGTACAATTTAAATCATGTAGCTCCTAAACAACGATCACATAAGACCAAGGTCTTATGTGATCGTTGCTCCTAAACAAGTAGGCTTATAGCGAGAATGCGAAGAGTAAATAAGTCTTAAAATTGCATCCACATTCCAAAAGACCACAAAATTGTCAACTGATCAGCTGATTAGTTGACGTTCGAAGCATTCCAATTTTACTTCTTTTCTCTCAATCCTTGAACCTCATTGATCCGTTGCCTGTGTTGTTATGAGAAAAACCATGCTGTTGTGAAATGAAACTACTGTATGCTGTTATGAAAGTAAAGAGCTGTTAAGTGAAACTTTTCAATTCTAAGGCCCCGGCCACACGGGGCGGATGAACCGCTTCCTGTTGGGTTTTTCCAGTATCAGTACTCTATTAAAACATAGTTTAGTTCACTCATTTTAGTCATGGGCGAAACACTTATGTTAGTTTGTGCATTAAAAGCGTGTGGTGATCTGGAACATTAACATAAATCATTGGGTCCATCCCTTCATAACGGAAAAACAATTTTTTTGTGTTCCAAACCTTTTACGAGCACATGCGAAACCATAGTTCGGAGTTCATATGTATCAAACATTGTTTGAACACCACACAACCGGTAAAAAATACACAAAACAAACTCAAAAACCACTGGAAATGTCCGAAGAATATCTCCAATAAGCGCGGCTGCCGCGCGGTCGAACCGTATCGTGTGGCCACTCTCATAAGACTACGTGTGTCATCCCCTCCAACGCGGCTTAACTTCGCGCGGTCGGGGGACGACATGTTGCGGCTCAACCGCACATGCGGCTAAACTTCGCCTCGTGTGGCCACTCTCATTTGATTCAATGTGTTGTCGAAACCCTCAACTTCGCGCGGTTAAACCGCCTCGTGTGGCCGGGGCCTAAGGCTACGGCCACACGGGCGTTTTTTCACGCGGTAAAATGTAGCTTATTTTCACGCTGCTTGAATTCCCGCTGTTGTATGCCACACGTGCGTTTTTTTTCACGCGGTAAAATGTAGCTTATTCTCACGCCGTTGAAGTCCAGGAGCGGGAAAATGCACTCGGAACCCGCAGTTGATTGACGAATTCACGTAATTATGTTGTATATCTTCCTAATGGCCGAAATCGGGCCGAAATAGTAACCTTGTTTCTGACTAGTGAACAAGAAATATGAATGGTATATTAATTTTGGTACGAAAACAACACTAAAATTATTTTATTTTGTTGACTTTTCATTTAATTATTTACATTTAGTACAAAAAAATATAATATAAATATTTGTATTACTTTCACCAGATCTTTGAATATTTTACTACATAAATGCCTCTTTACATTTTTTAGTCCAACTAAATTACTTTCCTTTTAGTAACAAGTTATTAAGTAGTACAGTAAGGTCGACCTATGTTTGAGATAAAACGTGTCTAGGCGTACCGTGTAGTTGGCTAGACCCAAAAATAGTTTACGATATCCTGGAAAAAATTAGATCCATTTATCTTTATTTTAACTTGCTAGAACGACTTGATCAAAGCTGCGTGTTGCTCCCGCCCGTGTGGCCAGGAACAGAGCGTGAAAACAAGCTTCAAAAATGCACCCCAGTCCATTCATCTGCGGGCCCGCGGCGGGTGATTTTGCAGACGCGCCACATCTGCGTGAAAAAACGCTGCGTGTGGCATACCTCATTACATTTAATGCTGCTCATATTTCTCGCTTTTTTTCAAGCTGCGTTCTTGCGTGAAAAAACGCCCGTGTGGCCGTAGCCTCAGAACTGAACTGAAATGGCTACTTTAAAAAACTGTCGTATTTAAAACGGTAGTAGGTAAAAACATTTTGGTGAATGTTCCATATAGGTAATACGCTATTACCATTAGCGAAAAAATCTCTCATGGCAAAAATAATACGATCCTGATGAAATTTGTACAAACGTGTCGTGTAAACCTACAACGAATGAGTCCGCGAACCAACACAATTGGAATACGCGAAAATGAGTTAATGAGGGTAATAAGAATAAGGTAAAGATTTTTACATGGACATAATGAGTGAATTTCCAAACAAAATTTAAAATGTTAACCAATTGTAAATAGCTTATGTATAGCATGCAGAAGGAATTTTGTATATATTTTATGTATTTCTGTAATTGACGTAACCAATGCATAACTTATGTAAATCTGGTTAAATAAATCACTTATGACTTTAGAGTAAAATACCCCCGCCGCAGCAAACCTGCATACTAAGCGAATTTCCATTTGCCTAACTGGATTTACACTAAAATGTCTCCTTTAAAATATCACGTAAACTATCGTACGTAACTCGTCCAAAATGTGTGTACCGGACTCGTATGGTAATCCCGTACTCGACTTCGTCTCGCACGGGAACGACCACACTCGTCCGGTAAACACACTTATTTTCAGGACTAGTAACGTAATATACTATTACCGTGTACTTAGTCAGCTGTTGAAATAAACAGCTAATTTCAGCGGCCTATTTTATAAAAAAAATCTAATTTATGTTCTGTCCTAAATAAATTGTGTCGCACGAAAATCCCGTACTCGGCTACGCCTTCGATAAAACACCTTACCGCTTACCGGGCTAGTAACGTAATACAGTAGGCATATACTATTATTTTCTTTATACCTACTGCATTTAGATAAGGTGTTTAAGTTTCAAGCAGCCATTACAGTTTACAGGTGGTTCTGATGTGTGTTTCTAAATACTGCAACAACTCTATGATTATAAAATACCCCCCCGCAGCAAACCTGCAGACTAAACGAATTTCCATTTGCTTGATTGGATTTACACTATCTCCTTAAAATATCACAAAATTATTCCCTATTTCAATATTGCATTAGTTTAACAAGTACTTAGGTATGTTATAACAGGGAGGGTTTTAAAGTTTTTTTTTTCACATGTAGGTAGTTTAGTATGAAATAAATGCATTTTCAAATTTTGATCAAAAGATGTTCATAAACAAGCTAGCTACAACAGTTTACTTATTCTCCATAAGAATAACATAGGGATTTAAAATTTAAAACTGTTTGAGTTTTCTCCGTAACCATTAGGCAACTGTTTGCGCATAATAATGCTTCAATATACTAAATAATTTGTTTTTAAGCTCTACAAAATAGTTTGGAAAGAAATTATTGCAAAATTTTATGTTGTCATTGCTTTTAATGGATCGCCATATTGGCAATGGAAAGGTTAACAAAAGAATCAAAGCATCTGCAGAGGCAAATTAACGCAGTTTTTTTTCATTTCCTCATTTCCGGTGTAAGCAGTTGCTGATACAAATGTACTACAACTCATTTAATATTTCAAAGTGTAACAATGAACAACGTAAAATTGTTATTTGGGTTAATCTGTTTTAACACTTAAGCTAGCAAGTTAAATGAAAAAACTATGTACTATATCATTATAATTTCAAATAAATGTACGATTGAAAAAACTTGGATGGATACCATAATCATCCTCTATCAAAGTTTGGCCTAGGTAGCACGTTTTAACTACCTTCTTACACGAAAAAAAAAAACAGTCAATAAATCATAATACAAGTGCGACAAATCTATATATTAATTTGAAACTGTTTTTCTTTGTGACAGCTATTTTGAGAGAACGGCTGGGCGTAGAAAATCGGTAGGGGTGTCTAAAGAAAGGTCTTGGTCTGTAGATGAGCCATCAAAAGAGAAACAAGGTAAATTCTCTTGGGGCTCTGCCCCAGAGGCCTTTAAAGTTCCCTCTTCAGATTTGTTTACATTACGACCATATGCATTTTTAATGCAACAGCTGTTAATATTTAAATTGTGATTTATTGAATTTGTCAAAATAATGTACAGCATTTGTAATGGATTTTTCTGATTTTAAAATTGATTTTCTTCTGCATCGTGTCATGTTTTGCAATATAATGTTCTATTACCAAATCAGTGGAAAATCCTAATATCACTTATGGAGTTAACTTATATCTATTGTATGGGTTGGTTTCTGCCTTTTTTTACCACTTCTTGGAGATTGTACGTACCTAGGTGATATTCTTTGGCAATTGCATCTGTAGACGAAACTTGGATTGGTGTAATTATTACAACGGAAAAGAGCGAGAAATCCTGGACAATTTGATATAGGCTAAAAATAAAACTGAATTAACACTGTGCTACATTTCTTGAGCAATCATTGATATAGGTAACCGATTTGCAAACAATGGAAACATAGAAAAAGTCATAGAACACATCCAGGTAAAAGAAATAGAAATATTTTTTTTACACTAAAAACATTAAAAAAACAAGATCAGCTTTTTGAAAAAAGATAAGATATTTACAAAAGATTTTGATATCTAACTGTTGTGTAGATCGTAAGTATTTCCATAATCTTTGAGTCGCCTGCAATGCTCCGCAATTGCTCGAATTCGAGCAACAGGTACACTAGTGTCAAATTATTTTAAGCCTTCAAACGGCAGAACACATATTATATACACAAGATAGTTGAGATAGCATTGACAAATTTGAAGGAGACTGCAAGCGCCGTGAATAGAAGTCGTTCGGAGTTTAAAAAAGAACGACTCTCATTATACTCAACCGATCTGTTCAGCAAGAGCTGTTCTCCTTCAATTTGAATCTCCCGCTCTTTGTCGATCTGTTTTGCTTGTCGACATTTTGCGTGTCGATAAAGTGGGAAAATTTACACAACCGTCCCACATAACAGACATCCCACATAACCGACATCCCACTTTACAGACATCCCATATTACCGACACTGTCGACATTTTGAGTTGTCGACAAAGTGGGACTATTTCAGTGTCGATCTTTTGGGATGTCGATAAACTGGGACCCCACGTGAAAGTTCAATTAATTACGTGACAAACATCACACATCCCATTCCCATACAACATTTTAACATAGTCGGAATGAGTAAAAAACGAAAGTTGGGCACCCAGCCATATTGATACTCTATGGATCGTTTTCCCCTCCACCAGGTGGGAAGGGGTGATCACGTGACTCGGTCCGATTTATACTCGACTTTGACGCAATTCTTCCTCTTCGTGTCCTTGAAGTGTCAGTGGCACATCCTGTGTCTCTTCGTTTGAATATTATAATCAGGTAATTAATTTAATTTTTTCATGAATTAAACCTACTGGGTAGAACATTTTATTGAGTGAGTGAGTTACCATACCGATGAAGTGTTTTCACACAGAAACAACATTATTGTAAGTGAATTAAATGAGGAACTGTGTGGTTTACGTGATAGCAGCCGGTTATTGCATGGATTTTCTTGAATTATAACGAAAGTCTTGTTTGATTATTATTACAGACCAAACTCAACACAATTTTACCAAAACGTTTTGCATATATTTTAATTAACTTATTCAATAGTTGGTATCCGCGTTGTACACGTTTAACCAGTTTATTTTAGATGAGACTGAGCCGAAAAGGAAGTTTGGTTATGACAGTGACAGATGTTTGAAATCAATGTAACTCCACTAAATGGAGCTAACTAGAGAGATAATTGACCTTAACACTGTTAATTTTATTATTTAGTAGAAATAATAAACTGGAAGTTTGAAACGTGTCTGTTTTTATTTTAAAATGAAAGTCTTCCATGACCTTGAGTGACCTTCATGTCTGTAGTGTCATACAACAGGTCTAGGCGTTGTAAGCAAGCCAATTTCGGAGTGATATATTTTGATAAACACTTTTTGTCAGCCTAGTAGCTTTGTCCTACGTTTTTAATATTATGAAAATAATAGCTAGGAGTAACTTTATGTGTTAAAATTAATGCCTGTTGGCCTAGCAGTAGACTCAATTTACAATAACTTAAGTTAAGGCTCTGTGATTTGTTACTTGTTTCAACAAAATAAAATATAGCCTACGGCAAGCTTCTTAACTTTTGTTGTTAATAGATATATTTCAAAACTTAAGTTACAGTGATTGTTGTTGAATAAGTCTTAGCGTGACAAGATTTGATTTTTTTGTTATTAAGTTAGTTAAATTAAGCTTCCATTTAAGTACCCGAAGCCAGCTGACAGACAGCTTTATCTTACTTTCTCGGGTAATTTGAAATAAAGCTGCGTTTGAACAAAGCCAGTTGGTGGGCAAGTTACCTACCTACTACTAGAGTCAAGTGGGTAGACTTTCATAGGCAGTGACTCAAAAAAACCGAATGAAAATATTACGTTAAGGTTAGGTTAACCTAAACCCGTGTTTACACCGGAGTTTGAAACTTGAGTTGCAAACGTCTCTAAAAACGCACATTTTTAGACTAAACAATTCGCTGTTGCAAACAGTTTTTCAGTGTTTGCATCAGAAATTTTTGTTCCACCTGAAGTCGGTAAAGATCAAAAGGGAGTTGCAAACTTTTGTTTGCAACACCGGTTTCGGTCACTAACTTATGTGCCGATGAAACACGATACAGAAACATTTCCCCGCCATCCCCTACGCTGCCACCTTCACTCTCTCTCACGTGATCACTCGCACCACCGAGTCACACTAATGTGTCTCGGCCATCGATATATAACTACGAGTAGTTATATATCGATGGTCTTGACTCAAGTGTCATAAACCTGTCTGGACTGCTAGTAGTTCTCTCGAGCATGTTGTGAGTGATAAGTTTTCAGTGATAATGGAAAATTTACTGAATAAGATGGAGTGGTTAGATGACAACATTCTTAATTAATTAATTTATTTGTTTATTTATTTGCCAACGGATTTACACCAATTTTACAGTTTGATTGAGTTGTAAATTGCTCATTATGACTAGATAATCCATAATAATAATAACAATGAAAGGAATGTCAAATGTCACAACAATAATAACAACAATAACTAAAGTTGATTATCTTGTACAGAGAGCAGAACGTCCTGTGGAACCAAACTATTTCCGATTACAAAAATAAAAACATGAAAAACTACGTATGGAATGACATATTCATCCTCTACACTTGATATCCTCGGAAGGACTGATCCCAGGAACCAGAACATTTAAGCGAGTCATAATCAAGGTCGAAAGTATTTCAAACATTTTAATGAAACATGGAAATAAAACCATGAAATAAAAATTGCAAACTTTTATTTGAAACTACTGTTTGCAACTGCTATTTGCAATAAAAGTTTACAACTTTTTGTTTGAAACTTGTTGTTTGAAACAGTGTAGACACGGCTTAACTAACCAAACTTTATATTTCAAATGAAATAATCAATCGAAAATTGCATTCGAATGAGTGTAGGTTTTTTGGAGTCCTGCTTATGAAAGTCTACCCAGGCAAGCAAATTGACTGCCTACAGGCGTCGAGTAAACACGTAGCTTAAGTTAAGTTACACTAGACGCAGGTAACCTGCCTGCCTACTGGCCTCGTGTAAATGCGGCTTTATTTCCATTAGGCACTTTAGGCTATGATAGAACACAAGATCTTTGGGCAACTTGTAGGGGCATCAAAAGATGAATAGGCCTAACTTAAAGCGGAGGATTTTATTTATATCTTAGCCTAAGTAGCTTAGGCCTAGTTACCTTTTAGCACGTTCATAAAACTAGCCTCAATCAATTTCTTTATGTCCTTCTAAATTGTCAATACAGTTTAAGTTAGTATGGGCAATAAGTTAGGCCACGTTAACATTGCTTATGGTGAACTACCAATTTATTCTGTATTATGATCAAAGATGGACAGTTTTTAAACTGTTTCATTTGTTACATTTGATTAACTATTTATTTGATATTCCAGAAGTCATCATGTCCAAGATTGGTATCAATGGTTTTGGCCGTATTGGAAGGCTGGTGCTGAGAGCTTCTCTGGAGCGAGGTGCTCAGGTAAGCTTAAAGTCATTGATTTTAGATTTGTTTGGAATATAAATGGAAGTTTTCTATATTTACTCCAAAGGCTTAAACAAGTTTTAATTATCCTTTGCAAGGAGTTATATTAAAATGTAGCCTACAGTTTTCCATAAATTTTTGGAAGGAGTAATTAGTTGTCAGGGATAAAAATAATCTAGGCTACTCAAGTTAGCATTATGACTGTTGTAAAACAGTCATTAACATAATTAAAAAATTAAAACCAATTTAAGTTTGTAAGTATCTGTATTCTAGAAACTAGCTTAGGAACTTAGGCTGTATTTCTTATTTATTTAACACTTTCAATTAAATTATCAAATATTTGCGATGAGAGTTTTTGCCACCTCAAAGGAGCTTGATTCAAATGATTCTGGTAAACAACTATTTTACAATCAATGTGTGACCAAAGGAAAAGACAGTTAGAACATAAATATCTGTTTTACTCTACTTTTTGAGAAAAATTATGTTGTTTGTTTGTACAAACAGGTGGTTGCCATCAATGACCCCTTCATCGGTCTGGACTACATGGTGTACATGTTCAAGTATGACTCTACCCACGGACGCTTCAAGGGGGAGGTTAAGGCTGAGGGAGACTTCCTCGTCGTTAACGGTAAAATAATGTTTTAATTCATCTCAAAAGCATTATAAGATTAGTAGGCTAATTCATAGCCGAGTTGCTAATCGTCTGCTAATCAGAAGGCTGCTTGTTCGATCTCTGATAATCAGCATCTTGGTTAGTTAGTGTTTGGAACTGGACTCAGCTGTGAAGTAAGGGCTTCTAATAAATGATCCTGGTTTAGAGAACCACCTGATCTAAGCCTAAGTTAAGCTATCTTCTCATCCATTCAACACTCAACCTCTACCGTCATCTTCACCTTAAAATATATTGGTATATCGGTGTTGGTGTATAACAGATCCAATCTAGATTAGTAGACACATTCGTTATTTACATGATTGTTTACATTGATGATTAGATTGTAAGAATACTTTCTGTATTTGTCTTGAAACAGTTTGAAACATTTATTCCAAATAAAGCAGGACTGTACGCTATCAGTGGCGGGTTTAGTGGGGCTGAAGGGGTTGCAGCCCAGGGCAAGACGTTTAAGGGCGGTAAATTTTAGAAGTATGTTATTTTAGTTTGAAATTTCAAAAATATGTTTAGCTTAAATAATTACACATTAAATAATTGACACTAACGCCCAGTGTCACCGGACATGAACTAGACATGAAAAACGAGCTTCAAAATTTACAATGGGATGAGGAGTCTACTTGTGGTTGGTTAGTCTAGGCCTATGGTGAAAGGTAGTAGGCTTATTTGAAATTAATTTTGTGGATAATCATTATGACAGTGCTGTGAAAAAAGTAAGTTACTGAGGGACGAATTTGTCCATATCTTATCATGGCATCAGCTGTGATATCATTTAAAATTATTATATCATTTTTTGAATGAAAAAAGCTAGTCGCACCGTTCGAGATGTATATGTGTGGTATGGCCGTAGTATATAAAAGTCAATAGGGTTACCTAACTGTTATGTTGAATTTGCAGGAAACAAGATCGCCGTGTTCTCTGAGCGAGACCCCAAGGCAATCCCCTGGGGCAAGGCCGGAGCCGAGTACGTTGTGGAGTCTACTGGAGTCTTCACCACCATTGACAAAGCTTCTGTAAGTCTTGCTTCTAAAATCAACTGACTTTTAATTTTTTTAAATATGTTTTCAGTTTGAAAAGTTTCAAAAAGTATGATGAAAATCAGTGTCCTTATCTTGCTCCAGATTCTGATTATTTATAATTATTAGGCTGTAGAATAAAGTTAAGATTAGTAGATAATTAAAATTGAACATGAAAATTCTGTTTGAATTTGCTGATCCATCAAGTTAAGACAATGCCATCATCTGTTAAACAATTATGTTAGGGCCAACACATTGTAAAAATTGTTAATTTTAAAAAAACACAACTAAATTGATTTCATATTTTCAAGATATCAATTAGATATAACAATAAAATAGCAATGTACATTATCTATTCACATGTTACTAGATAGAATCAGACATAAAAGTGTAGCCAGTTTAGAGTTAAAATAGGAATATATGAAATATTAAGACTCTGAAGCCTTGTTCATTTGTCAACTATTCTTTTCTGTTGAATATAACAACTTTTTTACCGAGTTAAACAGAATGTTCTTACAACTGAAAGTCACATCAACTATCTAGTATAAAAAACAAACAGAGAGAAGAAAATTTTAGTAGCCTAGTACAGTAAACCTTCGATAGTTCGACACTCCTTGTAGTTCGACACGGGCTGAGCTATTTTGTCAAGTGATATTTAATGGTTACTATTGATGTAAGCTGACTTGAACATTAATTTGTAATTTATTGTTGACTTGAGACTTAACTCATGAACATTGAAATTGTTGAGCTTTTTGATATTTAATACATTTGAGTGATTTCTATATTGTTCTTACTTTTCTGTATATTAAACTCCATTTACTCCCTATAGTTCGACATTTGGATGGTTCAGAATCTCTTAAGTCCACAAAGAGTCGAACTATCCAGGTTCTACTGTATTCCTTTATGTGAGGCTTATTAAAACGATGTTCTATGTAAATACAATATTGGCTACAGCTGATCCCCATAGATCATCTGCCTCAGTATCCAAAAGTCAAAGGTAAAACTGATAGAGTTTTCTACATCTGCTCTATGACTCGCAGGCCCATTTGGAGGGAGGAGCCAAGAAGGTGATCATCTCAGCACCCAGTGCGGACGCCCCCATGTTTGTGGTAGGAGTCAACCTGGACGCCTACGACCCCAGCTACAAGGTTGTGTCCAACGCCTCCTGCACTACCAACTGTCTCGCCCCACTGGCCAAGGTCATCCACGACAACTTTGAGATTGTTGAGGGTCTGATGACCACCGTCCACGCTACCACTGCCACCCAGAAGACTGTTGATGGACCCTCTGGCAAGGTAATTTCAGATAGTCCTAGACACAATCTGCTTTTTGAATTGAATTCACAATATCTACATCCTTAGTGTTGTACGTGTTGTGGTTAAATAATAGATAGGTTAAACAAGATCTATTTGGATGTTGCACACAACATAATAAGACTTGAACATAATTAATACCGTAACTAGATCAGCTTTAGCACATCTAAAGAAAAACCTTATATGGGAAGTGGGAATTACAAGATAAAAAACATTAATCTTCATAGCTAGATAACCGGCAGGCTATAATAAATACAAAACGGTGGCTATTTCTATTGAAAGCTGGATTTGAAATGTTGTAATATAGACCTAACAGGCATATAAATTATTGGTTGGAGTTTTTAATAATTTTTTCTGTAGGCCCTAGGTTCTAAATCAATACTTGAAGGCAGTGTTTTCTTGCGCTCTATTAAAAAAAACAACAAAAAAAACAGGAATCTTAGATAATGTGCGATTTTGTTGGTACAAAACCAGATATGAAATTAAAAAATTTAAGATTTTAGAGACCGACGCCTAAATTTTGTTCAGGTAGAATGAACAAACCAGTTATTCTTAGAACAGTTAGCATAGTTTTTGCTTTTATCGTGTCGAAATACTGCTTGTAAAGCGTATAAGTTTTAAACCATGTTTTCACCTAAATAATTCTTAATAGCCTATACCTTTTAAAATATTTAAGTGGTAACTTATTTGTTTGTGTGGTTTAAAAAAAAAACTCCTTCAGAAATCCTAAGAAGACTGGACTCAAGCACAAGTGTGCCTTAGTGAAAACATAACTCTTTCCTCAAAAGTTCCTGGAATTTCTTTGAAAAAATCCAAGAAGTTCTAGAAAGATGAAAATTAGGACGAATAAAATAACTACAGGTCAGGTAATATTTATTTTGTATAACAATCACAGTAGTAATTGATTTGATTTTACAAAGAGTTACAATTCAAAAATTCCAACTAAAATTTCTGTCCCAATTTCTTATATTTCAACTAAATCCTTTTATTGGACCTTACTCAGAGATTTAATTTCTCTTATCTTAACCTGTCTTATAGTAATACCACGAACAAAACAACCTGCGCAGAAACGGAAAGACCACGTGGTTCGCGCAGGTAGGTGTGGCGTACCATTGAAACCTGCGCGGCTCGAAACGGCCCAGGGTTCTTTTGTTTCTGGTATTACTATAACTTAAAATTATTAATCTACAAGTAGTCTTTACTAATCACCATTACTCTAATCGACAAGTTTTAGGACACTTAAGTACTCTTAGATACCCTATGCTTAATGTGATTTGTTTCTTGTAGATAATCCTATAAATTCGAAGTAGTTAGTAGAAAAGTTTGAAAATACAATCGTTACGGTACGTGACTAGGCCTAACTTAATTTTTATGCGATTTGTCGTTATCTCAAAATGTATGTATGTTGTTTTTTGGGTTGAACCGACGTTTTTGGACACAATGCAGATCTACATTGTTCTGTTCTAATGATGTTGTAGAACTCCATTATGTCCAAAATTGCAATGCAAAATTTCAAATCCAGTTAGTAGTGAAGTTACAACTGAGTCTTCACTACTAGATTTGCCGAAGATGGGGAACTAGAATGTCTCCAAAATATCAGTCAGCATTAAAACACAACTCGACAACATGGTTCAACCCAGAAATCTACAAGCCTACATCTTTATGCAATTTGTAGCTTGAAATAAATGTGACAGAAGTCAATAACTGCTGTAATTTAAGTACCGTAGCTAAAAATCAATTTCTCCTATCACACACTCATGTTCTTGTAAGTAAATACACATCACATGAAAAATAACAGTTAAGTCGTACACAAACACAACAGTAGATTTTGAATGGACTCCCTTTTAACTAAATTGATAGTAAGCTTAGGTATGACTTTCTAAATCTAATTTACAATTTATAGCAAACTAAAACATAGTTAATAGAGCATGGGGATCTTGGGTTATGTCACCTTTAGTGACCTTCATTGTTGAGACCAATTAGAATAAACTATGCTGCTAGTCTATATTAATTTACTATGAGTGTAATAATCGTCAACACCTTAAATGACTTTTCTTTTAACAGCTGTGGCGTGACGGACGTGGAGCTCAACAGAACATCATCCCAGCTGCTACTGGAGCTGCCAAAGCCGTCGGCAAAGTCATTCCTGCCCTGAACGGAAAACTGACCGGTATGGCCTTCCGAGTCCCAGTACCCAATGTGTCTGTAGTCGACCTCACTGTCAGGTAGGCTTCTGTTGGGATTGTTTTCCACTTGAAGTTCCAAATTAATTTAACATAATTTAAAAGCAATTTACTGTTATTTAGGCCTAACAACCAATTAACCGTTTCCGTATTAGCTATTACAATAGAATTTCCTCGTTTTTTTTATTCCATATCAATTGTAACACATTTGAAATAAAAATGTACTGTTTTTGAACCTTTTTAGGCCTGTCGCACACGGTCGATTTTTCGATAGGCCAATAAAAAAATCGGCCAAAAATAAATCGCCCTTGATTTATGTCTAGGCGCACACGTGGCGATTTTTTAGTCGAGAAATGGATGTTTTGGAGTGCGTTTAAGCTATACTAAAATGGACTTTGTTGAATTAACCTTTGTTTGTGCTCTTTAAATTAGATAAAAGAAAAAAAAGAAGACAACTTAAATATTGGGTTCATTCGATAGTAAGTCAGAGACTTTTAAATCAACAGTTTTATAAACTATACACTTTACGTGATACGCTTCAAAATAGGCAATTTTAATAGGGTTCTAAAGGAGCTGCTAGTTATAATAATATTCAGTCTCCAATGGGTTAATACACTGTCTATGAAAAACAACCTCGATATTGATTTGTGCATTCAAGGACACTTCAAAAGATATGAGGTCATAGTTATGAAGGCCCAATGTTGGGTTATCTGTATGACCTTTGATTACAGTCTAATTGTGTAAGTCCACTTAAATACTTAACTTCAAACTAACTGATAACTGTAGCCCTTGGACTTTGTGTTTATCATATCACTTAACAATTACAAACAACAATTACAGACAACTGTGGTGCATTTTTAAAGTTTTGGTTTAAAAATAAACGTTTATGAATTCAAGATTAACGTTACTTTATTGAAGGGAAGTATTGTAAATTTTTACAGTAAATGTTCTCCCTAAATATTAGTCAATTGCTCATAAAAGTCTACAACAGTGATGTATTATGATGAAATAATCATATCGTAATTACTTTCACCTTAAAATATAACTGCATTTCACAAAGTCTATTTTTGAGATTATAAACTGTTAAGGGAGCTTTATCTCCATCTATGAGTTCCATGACGTAGTCTGCTCAATTACATTCCATGGACCAAGCGAGGTCAACTTGAATTTTCATTATGGCATTGGGTTAATTCTTATGTTTATAAGAGGTTTTACTGTATTTGTAGCTCTACATTCATTTAATCAATTTTGAATCTTGGATCCCACAGATAATATGAGGATATATTTGTAGACACCCACTGTTAACCTCGTCTGTCTGGTTAGGTTGGGCAAGGAAGCCAGCTACGATGACATCAAGGCCAAGGTGAAGGAAGCTGCCGAGGGACCCCTGAAGGGAATTCTGGGATACACAGAAGACGATGTTGTCTCATCTGACTTCGTCGGCGACAACCATTCCTCCATCTTCGACGCCAAGGCGGGAATCCCGCTGAACGGCAAGTTCGTCAAACTCATCTCATGGTAAGATTTTCCTGTCATTGAGTTCCTCTTTTTATTAGCCTAATAGTCAGTTGTCTACATATTTCTACTTGGTGTTGTTTAATTTTTTTTACAAGTAATTAATAGCAAAAAAAATATGGTTAACGTTTCAATTCTTGAAGCAAGAATATAAAGGAAATAACGAATAACAATGATGTTAATAGGCCAGAAATTTAAAGTTTTCAACTAAGAATTTTGATTTAATTGATAATATGTTGGCTTTGTGATGAGAAAAGAATAAATTATTTTGTGACTTAAATAGATCAAAATAAAAGGTACTTTTACTGTCTTTTTGTCATTGCATACACGTTAATATTGGCGGTTTTAATTATATGAAAATACATAAATTATATTACTTATTCATCTAATATTGGTTAGTTTATTGTCTACATTAAATAAGTATCTTCTAATTCATCCTGAGTGGTGTGTAGTGAAAAGGAATTGTTTGATTGTTCAATTTGACAGGCCTACTACAGTTGTGTCCTGACCAAGTAAAAAAAAATTACAATATTAAATTTACCTTTTTGCTACACTACTATTAATGACCTGTTTATCACCTGGGAAAATCCATCATTACATTGTTTATTACGGCACAAGAATGTTTACTATCTTTTTTGGATTTTTCCGACGTAAACAACACAGATTTGTTATTGTTTTGTCAACTGTTTTAATTTTCAACAACTAAAACTGTACAACCTTTGACTATTCATACTGTGCAACTTCAGTTTCTAATGCTAATAGTCAATGGTAAAACCAAAGGAAATATTAACTGTTTTTAATATTGATGCTATAACCTGAAAAATGCTCAGAGTTTTGTAATGTTCAAGCAAATAATTATTAGTCTTTTTAGTGTAGTGAAAAGTAACATTCAACACACGAGTGAAAGTGAGTCTATACATATTCTCGACCATTTAAAAATAAGTAATGACTCACTTTCTACTCTTGTTATGAAATATACTATTTGCTCCGTATTGACTGTGTTATTCTTTTGCAGGTATGACAATGAGTTTGGTTACTCCAGCAGAGTAATTGACCTGATCAAGTACATGCAAACCAAGGACAAATGAACACTAGGACAATAACATAACCACCTCGATGTTCCAATGCCACAGAAATCGTAGATTTCTATTCTATCTTTTGTTTAACTTCTTTTTTTAATTACATGTATTTATCAATTATTGCTTTTGTTGATGTTGTGTGAAATTTATATAGATTAAAATTATAAAACTATGTGTGACAATATACTTTCCATTTTCTAGTCTGTAGAGATCGGATGTAAGTTGAATTTTCCTTTTATCCTGCTGATTGATAATACTAAAATGTTTTGTGATTGCAAAATGTACCTATTGGGCGACTAGTTTGGACTATCCCTAGTAGTCATCTTCAGGCTTAGTAGAAATCTTGATTCTACTAATCACATTCTGCCCGCTTACCTATATTTTTTGTTTCTTGTATTTTAAATGTTTGTATTTTAATTTACATGTGGGAAACTAGTTTGTCTCTTGTTATGTTGAACAAATGATATTATGTTTTGACAATTTTCAAATGAAGCGATAGGACTTTCTGTTCTGCTGCTCTGAACCTGAACATAACTACTCGTGCTTAGTCAGAAATAGTTACCCAATAGAAACATTATCAATTATTGAAATGGGGAAGCTACCTATGTGCGTATTTTAACCCAAATATAAGTGCAGAATGGAGTGTGATGATCTGTGTAGCTTTGTTACTGACTAAGATCAGCTGTCTCATTAGTCAGGATCAATGATCAGGCACAGTGGGTCCAGTTTCAAACCATCAAAGAGTTTTCTCAAGATCGGCCCAGTGACCTTTTGATTGTTAGACGAGGACTATGTTTGATTGCATGAATCCAGTTTAGTAAACACACACTGTTACCAAGCTGAATATGTCTTGAAGGGGAATTCCTTCCACAAACTGGTTGTTGATTAGGCAAATAAAATAACCCACAGAATGCTGATAAATTTATTCAAACAAAACATTATATACAAATACTAAAAGTAATGGAAATTTAAATGATAAAAATACATGTCATAAACTTCCAATAAAATATACTGAGTAACAATACTAATGAAAGCATAATGTTGTGTTTGTTATCACATGACAATTTTATACATGAGCATATTAAACTTTTAATACAAATAATCTAATCAAGTATATATATACAGCATGATTATAATTATGTTTTTGTACTACAAAAAGGGTTAACGTTGTTGCAAGTGCAGAATGTAATCGAATGGAAATATAAAAAATGTGATGATGTTACAGTTTTAAGCAAATTAGTTGTATGTTTACATCTCATCACTACAGGTTCCAATGTTTTTCAGTTTCTACATCAACTTAAGTATCAAAGATTTTATATACTAATAATAATAAACAAACAAGTTGTAATCAAGTAGCAATCGAAAACTGTAAAAGATCAGATAAAGTGTTACATTAATTTTGATAATGAAATATTTTTAAATACACTATAATAATTTAAATTAAATGCAATATTTGAGAATGTTCACATATTGCAAAGAAACCTTTATTAGTCTAGTTTTCAAGGAATCAAAATAAAAGTATGAACAATTTTTTTAATACAGAGGGATAGTTCTTAAATTAGTTGCTTATAAAAAATAATTCTATACCGTGGGTAATATATAAAAACCAACATTAATATTGTTTAAAAAAATGAAGTATTTTTAAATAGTATATTACGTTACTAGTCCTGAAAATAAGTGTTTACCGGACGAGCGTGGTTGTTCCCATACGTCATACGTGATTACCATATGAGTCCGGTACACACATTTTGGACGAGTTACGTACGATAGTTTACGCCATACTACTTAATCCGTACAGATCCTTATATATTTCCACCAACTAAAGGACTAATAATCACTAGTCATAACCTCTGAGAGAGGTTACGTTTTTGTTTATAACCACTAATTAATTGCCACGAAAATACAGTATAATCAGCTGATTGGTGTTCGGTAAAACTCATTGCAGAACAGTATTACGCAATGAAACCCCATTTGAATAAGCTGGCGGCAAACAGCTGTTTTCTGGACTAAATCCTTGCGTGGAAAGTTTATCAAAATAATGTAGTGTGGCGACAACTAAATTACATTTCCTACAATAATGCAAAATCTATTCACCTTTGGAATGTGATATTTGATTTTCCAGTCATGTGGAAATGCACAGATACAAGTTAACTATAAACAAATTAGTTTTGAAAGTAAAACCACAGAAAACATACTACTATTACCCAGAATGCCAACCGCATGGTAAAAAGTCTGCTATGCTGAGTGCATTGCAACGCTGGTGGCGCTGCCTACGAATTGACAGACAAAGCTCTCTCAAAGTACTTAACGCTTTTTATCATGCGGTTGGCATTCTGGGTTATAGTAGTATGTTTTCTGTGGTAAAACATACATTTAATAAGATCCATAAATCATAAGCAACTGACAAAAACACAAACACATTTAGCATAAATCACTAAAATAAACAGCTTGCTTTACATATTTTTATGACAATTTAACATTAACGACATAAACAACGTTATTTAACATGTAAAACAAATTTATCAGGGTAACTAATCCAGTTTAGAGAGACTTTGATTTCCTAAAATAAAGGGCTCACTCTTTATTATAAAATTAAAATATTATTTAAATTATTGACATTTTGTTACACTAAGGAATCATACAAGTCAGTGAATAAATCGTTAAAATTATTATTTAAAATTGATTTGCATGGCATCTAAAAAGACTTGAAGTACAAGTTTTCCCAACAAGCAAGATGCTCTGGATATTATTCTTCAAGGAATAACAAAACACAATGAACTAGAACTTGGTCAAACGGCTATGAAGAAACATGTAGTTGAGAAAATCCTTAATAATGGTACAAATTTCATAAAATCTTACAAGTATAAGAGTACATGAAGATAATCTATACATCCAATGTAAAATAAAATTAGATGTTTGGCATCCGGAAACTACCGGAGGGTAAAATAAACTAAAACAGCAAAAACTAAAAATATCCCAGTGGCAAAGGTTAAGATGAACATGGTTCTTTTTCTTCTTTGATTCTGCAACAGAAATAAGTGCAAATGTGTATATTACTAAGTTACGATTCAAGGCTGAAGAGGCCTTAAGGAGAAGAAACCTCAATAGAAACATACTTGTCTAAGTTGAAATAAATTGATTCATTTTACGTAAAAAAACTTACAATTTTAAGTTCTCTTAAAGTTAATAACTGTTTTGATAGTGCATGTATTGTTTCTGGTAGTAGCCTACCTTTAGTTTAAAGACTTACATGTTATGGAACTTTAGAGTCCAATATTACAGAATTCAGAAATTTCTATTAAAAATTTTAATTTAAGGCATACACATCTGAACTTTAGTTTATCTTCCACTTTTATAATGTAGTACAAACGTTTCATTATTACTTCATAGAAAAATAAGCAAAGCAATCTTATCCCAAAAATGTAATTCTCTGACAAAATCCTACCAGTAAAACCATGGTTTCTTCAGAATTTCCCAAAATTACTCCAACCCAGTAGGAATTGGCTAACTCGGTCGTGTGTCGGAACTGGCTAACCGTCTCAGTCAGGAATTGGCTAACTCCGGAACCCGCTAACTCGATTTTGTATCGCGGCGGAAGTCGCTAACCCGGCCGCGCCCACTGCATGGAGCGTTGCCAACCTTGCACGACGAAATAATCGTACACTGCCGTATTTCAAAATGTCAGTGTCAATGAAGATACAGTAAATGTTATTGTTTTTGTTATCAACTCCACTTTGAACAGATAACTAGCCCAAAGTAATTAAAAGACAATAAAAAAATAATGTAAAAGTGTTTTTTTTATTGAACTGTACAATGGCCAATTAAATGTTTATGATTTTGATCTTAAACATAAATGCTATCAGTATAAAAAAATTAAAAAAATATGAAAAATATTGAAAATTCAGTTTAATTGGTACTAAATAATTAAACATCTACGAAATTAAGCTAAAATACACGCAAGTTCTCAAACACGGAAAAAAAATTTAATCGTAATGTCGTAATAAACCAAAACCATCAATTAATACAGTAATCAACCATTGTAACTTTCATAACTAATTCATAGATTTAAAATTAAATGTTCGTCGTTGATTCTTCCAACTTACGTGTAAAAATATGACATAGACTAAGTTTCATATCAATTATAGAATAGCTTAGGCCTAAATCTAGGCCTAATAGTTTAAACCAAAGCATTGTAGGTCTACTAGTAAATAGTTGCCTAATTCTAAAATGTGTTGAATTTTTTAGTAATAATGTTACATGTTTTAAAACAGTTTTTAGATTGTACACCTATGCACCTCTAGTAAATAGTAGGAGAAGATATAATACATATAATGAAACGGACCAGGGTTATTTTAATTCACGATTCTTAATCAACGACTTGACGGATTTTCCTGATTTGAGTGTTGGGTTTCCTTTATATTGTTTTTATAATCGAGTGTATACCAAGCCATTGCTCGGTTCCCCGTTCCCCTACTCAATAGACAATAGCTTTGTTTTTAGATAAGCTCAGGTAATTTTAGCTATGGCTACCATTCATAAAAATGGTAACAAACAAGAACGCCTGGGTCCATTTAGAACCATAAAAACTCAAAACTTTTAAAAAGTAGGCCTACTGAAAGACGTAAAATTAATATTAATCAAACAAAATTAAGAGGATGACACGGGTTTTACACTACAGTAGGCCTAATAGCCTACGATAACAGAAATTTGCAATTTGTATTTATGCATAGACAAATTTTTAATGCAATCCATGAATACATTAGGCCTACCGGTACCACTTTATAATGTATTGATCAATATTTATTTAAATTCAATAGCTCTATTTAAAAATAAATTACCACTACAATGCATTTCTGTAATGACGTTTAACACGTAAATTTTATCATGATTTATGATTCAATTTTATGATTAAAGGTTACGAGCCCAGTATATAAAATACGAACTTAATAATTTTATTTGCAGAAGTTAACAAAATGGTATTTATTCGAATAAAAGAAACAAATGGTGGACTACGAAAATAGATATTTTATAACATGTACAATATCCGAATTAAATGTACAGTATTATCATTTTGCATCCCAATAAACTACTATTTAAGTAAGAAAACCACATATAAAACATACTTCCTTGTACACTAGCTGTAACCCGCGGGCTTTGACCCGTTTAACTTCTTAATTTTCAAGATGATCTCATTCGCATGGCTCAATCACGTCCTGGTTGAAGTTCGTTCGCTACGCTCACTCACCTTTAGGCTGGAGCTCGTTCTCTGCGCTCACTTGCCTTCAGGTTAGCTTGTTCGCTACGGTAACTCGCCTCCAGGTTGAAGTTCGTTTGCTACGCTCACTCACCTTTTGGTTGCAAATTAGCTGTTGTCATAAATGTAAAAGAAATAATAGTGCTGCACCCTGTTGGTAATCCTTGTAACTTTAATGCTATTGAACATCATAGAACAGAACCAACTTGTTTAATTGAAACAGCTGTTAAGATTCATTAATTCCATTTCTCATAAGGTTAACATGGGAAACTCCAGAGCCACTGGGGGCGGAGCCCAGAGGTCGGAGGGTAAAATCCTTTCTCAGTGAGCGTTTACTACCCAAAAGGAAGATGCCTGCCAAGTTTCAGGTTCCTAGATCTTATGGTTTCTGAGATTTCGTGATGAGTGAGTAAATGAATGAATGAGTCAGTGGTATTTGAGCTTTATATATAAATAGATTTCTCATCTTTAAGGATCAGCTGAAGACAGTTTATTGTTAGTTATGTCCGGTGCACTGTCTTTAGAGGTCGTGTTTTGTTTACAATTGTTTCTTGTTTTCAGTAATTTAAAACCTCGTTTAACCAAATAAAACGTTCTAATCACAACTTATAACACGTACCCTAGTTATATAACCAAACAGTAAAGAACAAATCATGAAGTTAACAATAAAATAATAGAAACACAATTTCGTCGACACTAGCGATCAGTGTCACCGGACATGAACTAGACACGAAAAACGAGCTTCAAAGTTTACAATAGGATGTAAAGTTTACTTGTGTTAGTTAGTCTATGGTAAGACTAAAATGCATTTTCTACCCTAATAACCATAAGAGTAATATTAAACATACTTCTAAATATATTTATTTTATCCGATACGTTGCTCTTACTCCTAATTATTCGTAGGATACAACATTATGGTACCGATATGATATAGGTACTACACTTTCGGCAACACTGGCTAAAAATCTTCGTGCTTGGCTCCCATTGCGAGGCTTCTGATTGGGAGTTAGCGAGTTCCGCCGAGGGACCGAGTTAGCGACTTCCGTATGAGGACGGAATTCGCTAACCCGGCTCTAGAGCGGGTTCCGGAGTTAGCAAATTCCGAAACCGAACAAGTTAGTGAGTTCCTCTCATCGACCAAATTTGAAGATAGGGCGTTTAACATGGGGTTAGCGAGTTCCAGAGTTAGCCAATTCCGCGGACCCAACCCATCCCATTCATATAATTCGTCAAATATTTTCCTTACCATTTAAACCCTTTAGAATTGGACACAGCGAAATTAAAAACAGTTTTGTCTTTAATTTTATGGCTTAAAATATAAGTAAAAGAGCAACAAACCTGGTACCGAGCAGCTTTTTCTAACTCCTCCCGGCCCCCTTCCACTCTCTGGTATACATTCTCCACATTGTCTTCAATAAGATCTAGAAATGACAAAAAGTACAAAGTTTAATAATTACCTTAAAAAGAGGATTTTTACTTCCGCAACTAGAACTAACTGTTGAGGCAAATTACTACAACATACAGATTAACATCTCAATTATCTTAACTGTGGAAAAAAATGCTAACCAGGAAACGAGATTATTTTGTATGATTAACAAACAACTTGATTTAAATCCATTGGTATACCGAAATTTCACTACTGGATTACACATTTTGTTTGACTCTTTTAGTGACTTACAAAAACAACTATAATCTTATTCTCTAATATTTTGTCTTAAATTAAAATTACTATCCTCCCCCTAAAATAAGACCGGAAGACAATTCACAATTGGTTACTCAATCGTAAACAAGACAGACGTGGCATTTTGACACAAAACATAATCTAAAAAAAAAAAACATTTTTTGTTCTGTGTTGTATACTTGTAGCTAATTGCAGAATGCAGATAGACAGAAAAAAATCTATTCAACCGACAAGTGCTGCAATCCTTGGCAGTCAGCATAATGTTGAACTAGTGTAGCCATAATCCAGGACAGAACACTTTCGTCTAGGAATGGCAGAGCTTATTAGCAGCAGGACGGAAATCTTCCGTCCGAGTACACCAGTGGGTTAAAAAAACCTCTACGTGTATTTACTAGTAGATTTAAAAATTTATTGGTAAGTATTCAGAGCATAAAATGGTCAAGAAAGGCCTTAGAGAAAACCACTGGCACTAAAATGCACATCAATCTTTTTCTAAATGCTTAAAAACTTGTGTTCCTTTTGTTTATTAAAACTGAATAGCATTTTTTTTACACAGGTATGAAACTATTTTTGGTCCTAGGACGTTCGGTACGAGTCCAGAATTGTTTTTACATTACTTGTTTTAAAGTTGGGAGTTGTTATTGGGGGTATAACAGTCCCCAAGGGGATGAAATATTGTGTTCAATTTATCTTCTGTATGTTTTTATGGCCTATCTGCAGTACCTGCACTTTTTCAGGGTAAACTAGGTACCGTAATACCATCCTTATCCTACAATTATAAAGTGTTCTTTACTTGATTTTCTGACCTAAACTATTCTATCGGGTTCACATCCCAATGAAAGTGTTTTTTCATAGTATGAGTGAAGGAAAATTGACGCTTCCACCTTCCACCATTTATGAATGACGTTCTATGTTTATGGTTTCTTTAGAATGGGGTATAGAATATAGTTGCTAGTTTACAGATGTGTTATCCAGAAAAGTGTTTTGATGTAGAAAATGTGCACATGTGACCTAGGCAGTTTACAGAAGGCCATAAACATTTGTTCAATGAGGCCAGTAGCAGGCTGTTCTTTAGTTTCCATTGACACAGTGATTAAAGTTGAGGAAACTTTGAATGCTGATTGACGTGTTTCACACCACCAGGGTTTAACGTTGGTCTTAATAGTGCTGGTGTGGTCACTTGTCAGTATCTAGCAATCTTTTGTTCAGCCACTGCCACATAAAAAAAATTTCCTTATATTTGGTCATTGTTGCAAATGAACATGATGTACAGGCCTGCATACACTGTGCTATTGTTAAAAATTGTTAACATAGTGCAAACATTTGCAGTCATCTTTCGAATCCCTCCACATCTTATGTAGATTTTCTATATCCAAACACTTTACTTAATTCACATCTGTCAACTGTCTATGAACTTCACAGGCTGCCTTGGATAACAGAAATCCAATCACTGATTGTTATTCATACTTTCCAGGAAACCTATTTTCCTTGACAAAGTTTTTATCTACCATGACGAGAATCATCGCATTGGATAGGAACAAACTACAGTAGAACCTTCATAACAAGACTCTCATGGGGATTATTAACACGTTCGCTACTGCAATAGTACGAAATTTTCCATTCACATGGACCAGCGACGCACATATGCGACGGCCGGTTTCTACCCATAGACTGCCGTCGCATATATGCGACGGCCAGTCACATTAAAATAGACTGCCGACGCATATTTGCGTCGGGGTTCTAATGTTATTAAAATGCTTATATCTTTGTAGTGGTCTATTTGAAGGCACTGAATTCCCTGCAGTGGTCTACAGAGATGTCTGACGCACAACTGCGTCGCTTGGTCTGAGGATATGATGATTGGTGACGTCATATAATAGAAGGAAAAACTGGTCTTTACTTTTCTGCATCACTGTATGTATGTATGCAGTATGTATGCTGCATTATCCTATGTAGCTTTTATATTTGTTCAGTTGTAGACTGTTCTTGAATAATCTGTTTATTTTTTTACTTACTTTCACCTTAAAACTCAAAAAAATTAGCCGTCGCATATATGCGACGTTTAGTCTATTTCAAGAAAACTATGATAATTTTCACTATTGTTTTCGCTGTAGACCGGGCGTCGCAAATATGCGACATTACAAAAGGTTATAAAAAATACAAAAAAAACAAGAACAATTTATTTACAAACACGATTGTAGCGTATTACAATGTAAATGATCACTGTTTTACAGGTTTTCGCCCGTGGTCTGTGTGTACTGTTATCCAAGTGACAGCCGGTCTATGTGTAAGATTGAAATGTATACCTCGGTCTGTGGCAATGACCGCGGCGTCGCATATATGCGACGCTCAGTAGCGAACGTGTTAAATAAGACGTCATCAGGGATAAAATAAATTCAAGGGGATTTGATAAATGACACTTGTTATTGAGGGTCTTGTTATCGAGGTTCTACTGTAGTATCATAGTGGACGAAATCTGCATATTTGATCTAGCTTGCTTCTTGCTTGCCTGTGACAGGAGATCGAATGAGATCTCCACTTACAGATAACCCTTAACATTCTTATTTGTAAACTACTATTTGCGCTCTGGTGTCCAAAGCCATGCCCTCCTGTAATACAAGGCTGCGGTGAGACAAAAATTACAGGCCACAGTTCCGGCCTAACGAAACATCTGTTGCACTAATTTAGGCCCCTTTTATTCACCGCGGTTTTATAAATGCATTGCCGTAAATGGGTGCTTTTATTCAAATAGAAGTCATATATCAGTTATATCATATAGAATAGTTATATCAAGTGATATAGTTAGTCAGTTATAGAATAGAAGAAATAGAGGTCTCAGAAGTTGCGGGTACCCGCGGCGGTTTGTAGATTTGCCCGCTTGCACTTAGAAACCGCCGGCGGGTAGCGGTTTGTATATGCATTGTGTCATATGGGATCGTTTATTCAACGTGGGTGCCCGCCGTCGCTCTCGCATTGCTGCCAACCCAATTCACCAGTATCACTCATTACACGTGGTCTAGTCATTGGCTGTGCGCATCGTACTTACTGTAGTCGTTTTGTCTTGTACGTGGCTGAAGTTCTTGCCGTGCATTTTAGGTATAAATACCCCAAAACACACGGATCCATCGTGTACTGCCACTAGTGCACGTTGACTGAGTGACTGTCGACTGCCGGAAAGGGTTGGCAGCACTGTTACACTATCCACGTGACAGCGGGCGATCGCGGCGGGTGCCTGCTGGCGGGCAACCACCGTGAATAAAAGGGCCCTTATAATGGAACTCCAGCTGAAGCAGGTCGGTGAGACTTTGCCACCCACCAACGCTGTGGCCTTGTATTAGATGAGGACCAAGTAGTTTGACTAAATTGACTGTTATGGTTATGTTATATTATTTATTATTCACTGCATTTTCTGATACTAAAAAAAAGTAACACATTTACTGTGCAATCCACCCAAATATAAGAGAAAACCAATGGTCTAATATCAATGCATTGATTTGTGACAGGAAATTTTGATATTTATAAGAACTAGCTGTATCCAACGTTTAATGAAAAAGATAGCCTAATTGAGTTAATTACTCACAGAGCTATAATCAGTTGTATCCCTTAGATTTTGTTACTGTGATAGTTGTATGTGTCAACGCTATAATTTACAAAAAGTTGTCCTTTCAGTCTAGTGTGATTAACGGTTGGCGTATTTAGGCTAACCATAACAACAGTAATTTACATCCGTACACTCTGTCAGTGGCTCCAATTCAATCGGTTTTATTTGTATTCCAAAACTGGCAACAACTTTTACATGGGAATGAATTGTATATTTCCATCCACAATCGAAGATTAGATTCATGCGGAATCTGGATTTTGTTTTGGCATAAGGATTATAAGACATGGAAAAGCAGCATTTAAAAAATGGAAAAGCACCAGGTGAAGATGATATAGCAATAGAGGTTATGAAACAATGTGGTAAGAATGCTAGGCCTACTAGAGAAATTTATAAACTGATTCAGCGAATATGGATCGAGGAAGAAATGCCTATAGAATGGAGTGAATCTGTAATACTGTAATCCCGATCCACAAAAAAGGAGACAAAGAAACTTGTAGCAATTTTAGAGGAATATCCCTACTTAACTCAACTTACAAAATATTGTCTAAGATTTTATTGAACAGAATAAAACCGTATGCAGAAGAATTCATTGAAGACCATCAAGCTGGTTTCATCAACGGACGCTCAACGACGGATCAAATTTTTGGGATTAGAGAGATAATATCAAAGTATTGGAAATATAATAAAGAGTGTTATATCCTGTTCATTGACTTTGTAAAAGCTTATGATACCATAAAAAGACCCAAACTCTGGGAAACAATGCAGAAAATTGGAATTCCCGACAAACTGATAAATTTGACAAAGATGTGAGTTGAAGGTTCCAAAAGTAAAGTTAAGATAGAAAATGAATACTCAGAAACCTTCCAAACCCATTCAGGGGTTAGACAAGGGGATTGACTTTCACCGATTCTATTCAATATTGCAATAGAAGAAACCTTAAAAAGCACCAAAAATATCGAAGCTGGAATAAACCTCGGATCTATAGTAAACACTTGCTTTTGCGGATGATGTTGCATTAGTTGCAGAATCAAAAGAGGACCTAGGTAAGCTTACTGAGATTATTATAAGGGAAGCAAATAAGATTGGACTTAAAATAAGTGAAGAGAAGTTGAAATATCTGAAGGTCAGAAGAACCCAAATTGAAGGAGCTGAACCTTTTAGGGTCAATAACTATAATTTTGAAAGAGTAAACGAATTTAAATACCTCGGAGTCTCAGTTAACTGGAATAACGAAAGAGGAACAGAAATAGAAAAGAGATTGCAGCAACCAAATGTTTCTGGGGAGTATTAAAAATATTTAGTTCAAAAATACTATCCAAAAACACAAAATTAAGAATCTATAATTTAACTTTAATTCAACCAGTCCTTTTATATAGTTCGGAAACCTGGACATTAACTAAAAATCACTAAAAATCATGAAAACAAACTTATCATTTTTGAGAACAAAATTTTGAGAAAGATTTTCGGACCTATAAATGAAGAAGGGATGTGGCGAATAAGAAAAAAACCAAGAGCTCCGAGAACTGTACAAAGAACCGGACATTGTAGATAGTGAAGAGTAGACGACTGAGATGGGCAGGCCATGTAGAAAGAAGGGAAGAAGAAAGTATGCTTAAGAAGATCGCCAATGGACAACCACGAGGCACTCGCCAGCTAGGAAGTCCAAAGTTGAGATGGAGAGACCAAGTCCAGAAGGACCTACACAGAGTGGGGGCATCTCTTGACTTGGCGGCAGACCGGCAGCAGTGGAGGCAACTTGTTGGCGAGGCCAAAAACCTTCTTAGGTTTGAGTGGCCAAGGAGGTAAGGTAAGGTAATAAGGATTATAAATAGGCAAATTTAAAGGCAATGGTTATACTCACTGACAGACTGTTCCTGCTCCACCACCATGGCCGCCAGTTCTTTCATCACCTCGTTGACATCCAACACATCTTCCTCTATCTGTTTGACTCTTTGTAGCCTCTCTACCTGCAGTCCATGCATGAACTCCTCATCTTGCTGAGCCAACCGCTGCTGATGTAACTGTCGCAGACCTTCCTCTGTGTTGGCATCTCGATCTTGCTGAGCCTCATCTTCCTCAGCAGCAACCTCCGACGGTAACATGCAGAACTTCATCTTCTCTGCTACTTGCTGGGGGAAGAAAATTGGGAAAATTCAGTGGGGATGACAGAATCGATCTTGCTTGGAATCTTAACCAGCGACCTTCAGATTCGTAGGCTAGAGCTGTAACCACTTAGCTACCTACCCAAAAAGTTGATCTATCATAAAAAAAAATCTTAAAATACCATGAGAAAGAAAATCGTAGTAAAAATAATTGCTCCATACACATGGTTCATAATACTAATATTATAAATGAGCAAGTTTGGATGTATGGATGTGTGAATGTTTGTGACAAGTAAACACGAAAAATACTGGTCTGATTGGGCTGAAATTTGGCATGATGATAGCTTACATTCCCGATTAACATATAGGCATATTCTTATCTCAAAAATCCTTTTGGGCTCCGCCCCAGTGGCTCTGCAGTTCCCCATGTTAACCTTATGAGTATTCATATTTAAAGGGAATTAAAGAATTTAGCCAGCTGTTTCAACTAAAAGAGTTGGTTCTACGATATGCAAAAGCATTAAAAATTTATAAGATTTACCAATCAATCAATCAAATCAACTTTATTTGTCCTTGTACATGTCATTACACAATAGAGAAAGATAGATTATTAAAAATTTGCAAAATATCATAAATTATTCATTAAATTAAAAACATAAACATAACTGTAAACAATCCTACTTTGACAGTTCTCATTGTGTATCACAGTTTTTTGTTGCTGCTTAGTTCAAATTAGCTGTTTTCATAAATAATGAAATAAAATAATAGTGCTGCAATCTGTTGGTAAATCTTATAGATTTTTAATGCTTTTGCATATCATAGAACCATAGATAAAACATACTCCCTTAGTAGATTTCTCATCCTTTCGGAACAGCTGAAGACGATTTTATTGTTAATTCTGTACGGTTTATGTAGAGGTCGTGTTTTGTTTACAATTTGTTTCCCGTTATTAGAGTCATTTAAAACCTCGTTTAACCAAATAATACGATCTAATCATAAACAATAACTTGTCCCCTAGTTATATAACCAAACAGTAAAGCACAAATCAAGAAATTAACGCTACAATAATAGAAAAAAAATTTCGTCGACACTAGCCCCCAGTGTGACCGTACATGAACTAGACACGAAAAACGTGCTTCAAAATTTACAATGGGATGAGAAGTCTACTTGTGTTGGTTAGTCTATGATAGAACCAACTCTTTTAGTTGAAACAGCTGGCTAAATTCTTTAATCTATACTAATATATAAAAATGAGATGGTGTGTGTTTGTGTGTGTGTCTGCCTGTTACTTAATAACGCAAGAACCAATGAACCGATTGAAATAAAATTTTGTATGGAGGTAGCTTATATACCTGGTTAACATATTCCTATTCCTGGCCTATTCCTGTAATCATATTTCCCTTGGGCCTAAAGGTGAGTGAGCGTAGCAAACGAACTTTAACCAGGATGTGATTGAGCCATGCGAACGAGCTCATCTTGAAAATGAACGAGCATTTGACATAGGGTAAAACCACATTTAGGACAGGACGACGTCGGTCGGGCCAGCTAGTAGTCTAATAAATGAAAAATATAGTCAACAGTAGACCACAATTAATTTCAATTTTAATTACCTACTGTAACTTAAATAAATTCTTCACATTTAATTGTGTTACACTGCTATCTCTATTTACAATTTCCATAATACAATTCTTTTTTCAACTCATTAAATCTTTACTGCTCTAGCCAAAAGCAACAACTTAAGCCGATTGGCGAAGTAAAATCTTCAAACGTTTGCAGATTAACCATGTTTAATTGGATTCATGTAACATGTTTACCATACTAGAGGCCAGAGAGTCTGCAGTTGGCGGCAGCCTATAGCAAGACTGGACTAGCGTGACGTCGCAACATCGCACGTTCACTAATTTTGGACACTAGGCCTAATTAAAATATACTATAAACAGTATTTTCAAATCAGCTGGTATTATTAGATTTGGCAACAGTGTGAGGTGCTCATTGGCTCCTTCGAAGTCACGTGATAAATAGCCCTAGGCTTCTCCCTCAACTGCAGACTCTCATAGACCGTTCTGTAGGTTTTCTTACCTTCTGCTTACTGCTGTAAGTGTTGACTGCTTCTTTGAACCTGCCTCGTAGAGACTCAACTTGCAGCTTCAACTGTTTGTCCTTCCCTCTGACAAGATCAGTGAGCCTATGGAGGTCTCGGGTTGTTTGCGAGATGATTTGGTTGGTACTTAACTGTGTCACATGTCTGTGGAAATATGTGTGTGTAAATCAAATCAAGGACAACATTTTTTAAGGTTTTTACTAAGAAATGTTTTTCAAAATTTCAAAAATATACTCCAAGCAAGGAGTAAGTTTTAGTAGGTAAACATGGAAAACATGGTTAAAGAAATCCAAATAGTAATGAATTTCCATTTACAATTATGAGTACCGGTATTAAGAATTAGATTCAAGTGTTGTGAGAGTATAATGACTGGAGACTAACTTAAAGACAAGGCCTACTCACACTTTATCTCGAAGGCCTTGGTTGTCTCTCCTGGTGCCAAGAGCTTTGAGGGTGCCGTCTAGCTGTTTGAAGCTAGAATTGATGGTGTAGATCTTAGTTGTGATACTTTCAGAGAGAGTGTAAAGCTCGGGATTTGAGGCATTGCTGAATCCGACAGTTGGAACCATACTCTCACTGATAGCTCCATAGGACCGTTGCGAGGGCCCTCCCATTAGGTTTGGGTTGTTCATTTTGTTGGATGTTTATCTAAAGAGATCAATTTAGTTGAATGTACACAGTCTAAGTTTATACACTTGAAAGGTAAAGCTGTAAAATTTGGTAAAGTAACTTAAACCTAAAGATTTCTATTAACTTAGTCATTAAGTTAAAAATGTACCTAGGGTAGATATATCGATGATAAATACACAATCAATCTTTAAAGTTTTAGTTTCTGTTTAAAAGTGTATTGCATGGTCATATAACTTAGTTAAGCTAAGCAGGAGTAGTAGATAAACTTAGAACACACTGACACAAGTATGTCTGAATCTGCTACACTACAAGGATAAAAGGTCTCACCTTCACAAATAACTTATATTTCACATTTTGAAAAGAATCAAGATAATTGTTGAAGGTTTTTGACAGAACAGCACACACAATTATGTGAATTTAAGTAATTTAAGTAAGAACAGCGCCACGGCAACACCGTCTCCTCCAGTGTTGACTTCTTCAACAGCAACCTGGCCAGTTTTAGAAGAGCGGTAAAGCGACGCCTCATCCAATAACGACAGCCCAGATGATACGTGTTGGTAAAGTGAGTTTGTGCGGTTGTGCTTGGCGATGCCTTTAAAGGATCGCATTCGGAATTTGTGGGTGAATGGTGTGCTTGTGTTAGGTGGCGCCTTTAAAGGGCCACACGCCTGAACAGGCAAATAGTGCGTGAGTGTTTAGCTTATTTATTAATTAATTAATTTATTTATTTTTTTTTTTGTTTGTTGTATCTTCAATATCCTTGTTGGTAATAATCATTATTTACACTTGTTTTTTTCCTAGTTTCTTTTCAAAATCACATTCATTAAACTGCATGTTCCTTGTAAATATTAAACAAAGTTTTTCATAATTGCTCTAGTCATAATCTGTTATACTTATTTAAGCTAATATTTATTCTCCCAAACATGCCTGTTTTCCTTGTTATTTATGGTTATTATGTATTACGATCGTCTTTGTTATGTTTTTGCTATAATTTATTGTTGTTAATTACTACATTATTGTTGTTAATTACTATATTATTGTTAGTTGTTTTGTTGCCTATGTCTAAGTGTTAAAAGTTCACAGTTGTTATTTAATATTAGTCATCTTGAACTGTACAATGTATCTTTAGTACCACATCAAACAAAATGGAATGTCCGTTGAAATAAAATAAAATAAAAATAAAATAAAATTTAATAATAAGTTACCTTAACTTTGTTAGGATAAAGTTTTTGTGATATTAAGTACAAGCCTTTGGTAAGTTACTTTGCATTTTCTGGAACTGAATTGTAAGTTAGTACCTAAATTCATAGGACATGTATTAATTAATAACAGGGTATCGACCTCCAGTCTTTTTATGATTGGCCAGTTACTTTAAACAAATTAGTGGCCTTGCCCTAGGCATAGGCTGGTTTAAATTTCTTGAAGGCCACTTTAATATCTGAGCATGATTAAACCTAGTCTAATATAGGCTACTCAGTACTTGATTAACGTGGTGCTTTTGTTTTAAATTTGTTTAAAATAATTTAGCAACCATAAAACCGGACTTCGTTGTTACATAACAGTACTTTTTGAAATTAATCCCTATTACCTGTTAGCCTAATAATTATTGGATGATAATAAAAATGTTCTAGGAATAACTATTCCTTAACAGCATTGGTCCGATTTTGCTTCAATTAAGTTAAACACAAACTAAGAACTGGAAACCATTAAAATTAAGCACGATAGTAACATTTTGTCATCCACGAAAACCACACAAAACAAAACAAAACTTTGGTTAGATATTTTGACAGATTCAGTCAGAACAGAAAACAGAACAGAAGTCAGAACGGATTAGATGCATGGAGAGACCAAGAAGGAAATATTTAGCCGTCAGCTGGTAGGCAGCATAGAGAGTCGTGTCAGAGATTGACTGAATATGTATCATAAAGCTTAACCATTGATTTTTAGTATATCATGGTTAGACTTATCTTCAATGTTAAATATAAATCTAGGTTATATTTATGTTGTTAACATTTGATATTGCATTTAGTGTATGTATTTATTGTATGATGGATTTTATTACACTATGTGTTTTATTTATGAATGTCCCGGTATAACTTCCCGGTTATAACCCGGTATATAAGGTGTTATCCACCATTACTGTGGGTGTAGACGATGAGTCTACACCCACAGTAATGGTGGATGACTGACACCTCTTTAGAGGGGGTTGAATCCATAAAGTTCTTGGGGATGCACCTGGATAGGGCGCTGAACTGGCAAGAACACATAGATAGCCTCTGTTCCAGAATTACAAAGGGCATTTTTGCCCTGAGGAATCTCAATCTGACCTGCACAACACAAGTTCTGATCATGGCCTATTATGGCCTTGTTCACTCACACATTTCTTATGGAATTAGGTTATGGGGTGGTTGTGCTAATCAAGATTTTGAAAGGGTGTTTAGACTCCAGAAAAGAGCCATCAGACTCCCCATGTAGCACAGATGGTTTGTGCTAGAGATCCCAGACGTCCTCTTTTTCCCGGACACGTCCTCTTTTTGGGTACAAAAAAAAAAAAAACGTCCGGGGGGATTTTTGGCAAAACTTTCAAATGTCCGGGATTTTGACTTTGTGAGAGAATAAAAAAATATTTCTTCAAGTATTAATATTTAGCAATCAGCTTTTATAATTAATCGTCATCATATCATTAAACTAAGTTAAAATACTACACTTTAATAATAGGCCTATCTTACTAAACTATTATACCAGGGGAACTTTAATAATTTTTATTGCAAATCGTTCTACCAAATTGAATTCATTGTAGTCTTTACACTTGTGGCGGACGAATGGACTAATTACAAACTCTAACCCAAACCTCGGGGTCGTTCGAGTCTTGACTATTTTTTGTACGTTATGAAAAGTAGGGAAGATTGGCAGACGACGGACGCTTTCAGCCATATACGGCAACGGCAGTAGTGTCCGATGCTGGCGCTCGACGTTCGGCCGCATTCTTCTTATTTAATTTTTCAGCATTTAATGTTACCATTAATTTTAACCTAGATGGTTGAAAACTTGAATTGGGTTTTGGATAAAGAAAAGAAGTTGTATCAAAGTCCAAGCTTGAAGGGTAGTTGAATATTAATTTAGGCCTATCTGAGTTCAGTGACAGGAATTTTTTATTACAGTAATGTAACTCAATGATTACCATAGACATTTTTTTTAATTTCAATATTAAATCATTCATATTTAGAGCACCTGATATCATATTTAAGAATAATTGGTATGTTGCTAGCCACAAAACAACAACAAAATGGTAGTGTCTCTGACTTAGATGCGGAAGGGACGGATTTAATTCCCGGCACAACCACTCACAACCACAAAAAAGTTGCACAAAAACTTTATCCTCACATTGACCCCTTGTAAAATTCCACTGGCGTAGACAAAAATTAGAACACTGGGAACCAACTCTTCAGACGGGACGCCGACGGCATCGTTAGTTGGGTAGTGTACATTGTGTAGGTTAACTGTTGCTTGCTGGGCAGGTATAATGCAGTCGTGTTGGGTGCTAGTTCTTAAACACTTCTTAGATAAAATAAGTTCTCTGGTTCAAAATCATGGTCTGATTTTGGACAATTTCTGTTTAGCATGCACATTGGCACCAGGGTGTTTTTGTAAATCAAACATGCTTGAATGTGTTGTAATGTTGCGGTATTCCTTTGATATTAAAACCTCAAGTCTCAATAATAAAAGAAAAACTTGACATTATACGAGTACAAGTTTATTTTTTAACATTTCTTGACCTTTAAAAAATAAACTGGGAAGCTTGAACACATTAAACTAGGTCCTCAAAATAGCTTAAAAAGTACTAATTTTAGCACGTTATTTCCAAAATTTTCAATAACGTTTCAATAAAATTATTCCATACCCCCCAGGCCCCCCGGTGACCCCCCCAAAATATATGTCTAGGACCACCCTTGGTGAGTGATTTTGTCCCCTTTTTTGATGGAGGGTTCCTGGGAACCCTAGGTTGGGCCAACTGTGGGACAGTTGGTCGATGGTTGGTTGGAGCTTCCACGACCAACCAACCGTTGTCCAACTGTATATCTCGTAGTTAGGCCAACCAATATTTACAACTGTGGACCAACATTGGTTCATTGTTAATGAAATACATTAATATGCATTCCTGGGTATCATACATCAAGCCAACCGTGTTGTCCAACCGTTTTATACTCCGTTGGACCAACAAAAGATATTTTTGTTGGACCAACGATGGTCCATAGTTGAGTTTACACGACTTTCATTCTCTGGATCTAGCTTTCATAACACAATTATTATAATAATGCAATTTTTAAATTAATATTCTTTAACTTATTTGCATCAATTTAAGGGGAAAGAGTAATTAATCATATAACAGTCAATTATAATAGCATTAATAATCTAACGGTAATTAAATAATCTATTCAAATACCAGTATCCTCTCTTACTCCAAAAAAATAAAATAATACTTAATACTTTAATACTTTCTTATGAAATGGCGACCATACAATGTAGGTATTTTAAGCCAAGCATGAATGGAGATGAGTGTAGGATGAGTGGCGCGATCTTACCATTTTACCATTTACCATGGGTCCTCCTCTTCACAATCGATCTTGTAGTCTTGTTAGTGACTAAGGCCGACATTCCTTAGACACAGCTGTTAATTAATAGCCCAAACAGCTAATGGCAACTAAGGGACCTACAGTTTATAGTGGAATCCGAACAAAATTTTTTCCATGGTATATACGAATTGGTCTAATTATCAGGTTAGTACTGCGGATAGTCGTAATACTCACTAGTGCGGACGTTAATCCACACCAGGGAGTATCCCATCCACAGTGCATACCTATAAATATCCACAATCCGTGACCTCAATAATAACTACTTATGATGCCTTAACAGATTAACAGAATCATATTATATACTGTGTAGTATCAAAAATGTTTTAAGTATTGCGACCATTGCAACTGTCGGCTAGGTACTCTTTCACCACTTGAAAACTCTTTTTATCAACAATCACAGATAGCTCAGTGGTAAGGCAAGAGGCTCATAAAGTCGAGGGACCCGGGTTCGAGACCCGTCTGGGACAAAAACTTTTGTTCCAGTTTACTTGTTCTCCATAAGAATAACATGAGAATTTTAAATTTACATTTTTTTGGAATTTTCTCCGTAACCATTAGGCGCATAATAACGCATCAATATACTAAATTATTTGTTTTTTTAAGCTCTACAAAATGGTTTGGAAAGAAATTGCTAAATTTTATGTTTTTTGGGTCCAAAATGGGAAAAACCTATTTTTACCCCATAAAACTCCCCGTAAACCCCCGTTCCCATAGTCCGATCATGCTGGTTTGCGAACTCGTTCGAATAAATGTAGGTTTAAACATTTACACAAAATTTCATCAAAATCGGATCATTTTTGCTCGAGTTATCGTGCTAACGGACACACACACACACACACATATATATATTTGGCCTCTAGGGACCTCAAAACGAAAAAAAATTTGTCCCGCGTCCAGGTCTTACTATGTGTACTACAGTAATAGCTTATTCCCTATATGGGAAATTCGCTAAAACGTACGTTTTCAGGAAAAGCACTTTTAAAATTGTCGTTCCGTTTTTTGAAACTTTTTAGCGAATTTCCCTATAGGGAAGTAGCTATTACCGTAGGTCTCATGGTAAGACTTAGGCCCGGGACCGATTTACTTTTTCATTTTGATGTCCCCCAGAGGCCAAAAACACCATTCGTTCAAATTTTTATATATGCATATAAATATATAGATTTATATATATAAAGATTTATATATATATGTGTGTCCGTGAACACGATAACTTGAGTAATTTTTATCCAACTTTGATGAAATTTGGTTTGAAGGTGTAAGGCGGGATAAACTTGAATGAGTTCGCGATCCAGCATGATCGGACCATGGGAACAGGGTTTTATGGGGTAAAAATTGGTTTTTCTCAATTTTGACCCTCAAAACACAAAATTTCCCAATTTCTCTCTAAACCTTCCTCAAAGAGCTTAAAAAAACAAACAATTCAGTATATCAAAGTGTTTTTGTACGGTTATTGGTTAAGGAGAAAACTAAAAAAAAAATAGTAAATTTAAAATTCCCATGTTATTCTTATGGAGAATATTGTAAAATGTTGTAGTTTGCTTGTTTATGGATATCTTTTGATCAAACTTAGCAAATATACTCATTTTATACTAAGCAATAATTATTTTACTTAAAACACACTCTTTATTAGTTTCCTTGTAGCAGCAAACCTAGGTATTCGTTAAACCTAATGTTATTTAAATAGATCAATTGAAAATCAATTCAGCCAAATGGAAATTCGCTTAGACGGCAGGCTTGCTGCGGCGGGGGTATTTAATTTTTTTATTTCATTGACATTTGAAGTTTCATAAAATGTCCATGGTAACGCAATATCTTTGGCGATTTTTTATTAATAGAGCATCTTTGATGGAAAAACACAAAATTTTGTCATGACCATCACGACATAAAACTGAATATACTAAAATAAATAAAAATAAATAGAAATATTAAAAATAGTTAATTAATTATACAATAAACAGCTCACTAAGCTTTTGGTATATTTGGTCTTTATAGAAAAAAATAATAAAAATATAAAAATTGAAAAAAGCCAATAAAATCTTTTAAGTTTGTATAACTCCAAAAAACTTACGTGAGACCCGAAAAATCGTTATGTTTTTGTAGAGGTGTGCTTCTTTTGTGTATAAAACATTGAAATATGATGATATTTTAATTTTTATGATAGAAATCATAAACGTGATGGTCAGGGACAAGCAGTACGGACGTGAATTGTCTGGAATAATCTAAATCTTTATAAACAATCCTTCAATTATACTGATAGTTATAATAAAAATATGTGTTTCAATTGAACTAAACTGTTCAATTTACAATGATATTTAAGTTATTATCACGACCAAACACACTATAACCCATAAGGCTGGATTGGTCGTGAAAAAACCCGCGATGGTCGTGAAACTTTGGTTGTGACATTACTTGTTATTTGGCTCTGTTCTGGCGGTAGCCCTGCACCTCATGTTCGAGGATACAAAGTGGAATTCTTGGTTAATCTAGCAATTGAAATATCTCATAAACAAAAATTAACACCGTGTCTACTTCATCGAATGACTGCGTACGGTCATGGATACACCAAAATTACAAAAAACACAAACTTGCCTTTATTGATCTTGTAATTTCTCCTTTCAACTTGAAACGACCGGCACTACAAACTTGACGTACACCCCGTACTAGTCTCTAAAACGAACTGACGCAATCGACGCCAGGCTTCCACTGTTGTGCTCCAAAGTTGAAAATTTTTCCCAAATGGTCCAAAACACATAATAATAAAAGGCCAGGGACACGAAAACGTACGTTTTTAAATTTTTACTCGGAAACGGCCGTGCACATGTGCCTGCAACTCGCCCATACGCAGGTCCTCCGAACTACTACATGCTCATAAATGAAAGGTAATCAGGTAATCATAACCTCAAATTTCGTTGAGTTTGTTGGAGGAAATTTTCGAAGCCACTTTGTACGCTCAAATCTCTCATCAATTTAATTAAATGCGCCTTCCAATGGTCTTTTAGCAAAAAAAAAAACTCACAATAAGAGAGTAACTACCTTGTCGGCCAGTTGAGGTGGTGGGACTTGTGCCTGGAATGGAAACGGCATGACAAACTACGTATGGCATGTGCCGCGACATGGTCTCGACATGTGCCGCGACTTGTGCCTGCGACTTGTAGGAATGGAAACGTAGACATATAAACCAATGCTACACTAGAAACACACACACACACACACACTACACTACACTAGTGCTACACTAGTGTTTGTTTCGGACTATTGCTAGTTTAGTTCATCAACTTATTGACTTTATTTTTTTTCAAATTTTTTTTAAAGTATCGTGTTTGTTTTTTCTAAAAATAATTTCTAAAAAAAATATTTTTTTGAGTAATTACAGGTGGCGTTGGTGGAAAAAACTAGGTCGGTACAATCAGAAATTTCAAAATTACGGCTATTTTAATTTAGTCATAATAATCTGTTTCTTTGATGTTATATTTATAACTTAAATAACTCAAAAATGGAAAATTTCATAAAAATTAAAGCAGATGCCATTTTAAGTTTTTAATTGGGCCGACTTAGGTCTTGTGTCTTGTGTGGGTTAACATGCTTACCATAGTTTGATAATCATCTGTTGAAAAAATTCAAAGATAAAAATATTCATTTATAAAAAAAACTAAATGCCGGTTACCTGGGAAAATATGCATTTTCGGACATAACTTCATATACAATTTTTTCTTCCTTATTAGGATTCATTCCCAAAGTCCGGCTGAAACGTTTTTTATGGGCATCCTGTGTATGTGAAATTGAACTGATGGTGTGTTTTATTTGGGCTCTGGGTACATCAAAAGGAAAAATAAAATTGGTCCCGGGTCCAGGTCTTAACATGAGACCAACCTACCTACTACAATAGCTTTTTCTCTATGTGAGAAATTCGTTAAAAGAACTGATTGAATTATTACACCAACCATCAGAGTAATTAAACCAGTTGCTATTTGTATAATTTACTGATAATATAGCAACAAAACAATTAAACTGTTAGGTTAGGTAAACTGATAAATCATCCCTTTTACACTCCCTGTATTAATCTTGCTGAGAGTGAAAGTGTACAAAGTTTACCCACCAATCAAGGAACGGAGGAACATAAAATTAGCCAATAAGTATAAGTACTCCTGAGAGAAATATTATATTCGTGAAATGCTTCTATGACATTATACTTCACAAATCACATACTGATCATGATAAGCTGTTTTCCATCTCTAGCTTGAAGTTATTTATAATAATTATACACACTTACAAACCAACTAATAATAATTGTTACCGTGCATTGTTATAAAATATAGCCTAGAATACAATTATTTTGTTTTATTATTTTTTATTATGTTTGGGTCGTTTGAGAGTTTTCAATAAACACATTATTTGAAACATTGTATGTACTTTTACGATTATGTTTATTGATGAATGGTCTCAATTTCACTTATATAGGTAATCTAAATTAACTTTCAACACAGTAGTAATGAATATATTTTTATTCATTAATTCATAAATAGAATTCGTGGACAAAATCATACAGAGTAGGATTGTGTTTTGTAGACTCTTCTTCAAGAATTCTCAGCTTCCTTTGCTTCTGCATGCATGAACTTGATAAGGTCAATAACTCTACAGGTGTAGCCGTACTCGTTATCGAACCTGTAAAATCGTTCTTAATCAAAAATTAAAATCAATGTTAAAAATTGGATCGCCAATGTAATTTCCTAATATTTTTGAAATATCAAACATATTGCACATACTATATACTATTTGTATTTCTGTATCTGTATTTCTTATATGTATTTCTGTATTTGTATTTCTGTATATTCTGTATTTGTATTTTTTGTATATTTTTGTATATTCTTTGTATGTAGCCTTGTTGCATCATGGCCTTGTTGCCTATACAAGTATGGAGATTTATTGTAGGATGAGTGGCGGATGAGTGTAGGATGAGCCTTGTTACTGACTAAGGCTGACCTGTTCCTTAGACAGGACTGTTAATTAATAGCCCATACAGCCAATGGCAACCAAGGGACCTACTGTTTATTGTGGAATCCGAACCAATTTTTTTTCCTTGTAATTTACAAATTGGTCTAATTATCAAAATAGTACTGCGGATAGTTGTAGTACTCACTTGTGAGGGGGTTAATCCACACTAGCAAGTATCACATCCACAGATCATGCCTATAAATATCCACAATTTGTGACCTCAAAAGTAGTTGGATTACAGTCCCAGTCTAGTTCATGTTGGTGACACTGATCGCTAGTGTCGACAACATTTTATTTATATTATTTTAGGGTTAGTTTAATGATTTTTCTTTACTGTGTAGTTATATAACTAGGGAACAAGTTATCGTTTATGATAGATCGTTTTATTTGGTTAAACGAGGTTTTCAAGGACTAAAATAACAAGAAACAAATAGTTTACATCAGCTGATCCATAAGGATGAGAAATCTTCTAAGGGAATAAATACTACGACAACCAGCTGTTTCTTTAGCCAGTAGCATTTTAGTGAACAAGGTAAAAGTGTTTAAGGCTGTATTTACAATCTACGAGGGTCCCCCAGCGGCTCACTCTAGAGTGTCCCCTCTATTCTGATTCTTCTGTTTGTGGGGCTTAGGGGTTTTAAAATTATTACTTCAAAGCCATATGAGCTTAACCGTTTATTTTCTATGATCCAATCAGAAAACAGATCCCAAGAGAGTACCTAGCTAATAAATAAATCCAATTTATTTTTTGATAATATTGGGGTCTGCGGACCAGACCTTTTTACTTCAGGCGGGGTAAAAATTTTCGATCTTCGGAGCTTGGGTCAAAATTGGGTACCTTTGGAAAGTATTGATTTATTAAAATATTAATTATCATCCTACAACCTCGTTAAGCGTGGATAAATCGCAAACATAAAACTATATTGAAAATTAATAATGTTGTCCTCAAGGTATTCTATGCGGGCGTGGTGCCACCTACGTCTCCTGTCGTCCGGTGGTCATGATGAAATGATTAATGTCTTCCACATTAACGCTGACATTATCTAAGTCTCCCTCGGTTAGGAAAATTGGTGAAAGCCCATACCCGTGAAATTTATTTTTCAATAGAAAAAAGAATTTCCTTTAAGCCCAAAGTGGGACCCCCTCCCAGGCTGAGGTTCTTGGCAACCGCTGTGTCCACCGTTGGTAAAATACAGCCCAGAATCTCATTGAATATGAAGATTGTTCGTGTTCCTCAAATCTGTGATTTTTAAATATTACCTGTATTTGTATAAGACTAAAAGATAAATCAAACAACATAGAAGTGCATACCAAGCTATCAATTTGAAGAAGTTCTTATTAAGTTCCATGCTGGCCTTGGGGTCGTAGATGACTGAATAGTGTGACCCTATGAGGTCGGAGGACACTATCTCATCAGAGGTGACGTCCATTATTCCCAACATGCTGTCGTCACTCGCTTCCACCATCGCCTTAGTGATTTCATCCAGACATGTTGCCTGCTTTGTCCTGCAGGTAATTAGAGTTCAAAGTGCAGTTCTAAAAAATTGTCTGGAGTTCATCTCTGTCTATAGTCAAAAGAAAATAGAACTGGCGGGTCAAGGTAATGTTTTTAAATAGGCAAGCTGGTACTAATTACCGCCAGTTCTATTTGAGTTGACTATAGTGTTTGCATGAAATGGAGGATCTTTGAACACCGAACAAATAACAGATGAAAAGAATGAGAATGGTTTGTATTAATTGCCAAAGTGGATAGCAATTATTTTTTAATATGCTTGTTTTTTTCCAGAGAATGTGAATGTGTAAAACCCCAGAGTATAAATTTTGACTATTGATAGGATGGAACTCCTATTCCCAAGTTAAAGCTGCAGTTGGTTTAGTAATAGAGGACATGGTTAAATCAAGCCACCAACAAAGTGGGCTGATGTCAATTATTGATTTCCTTGAACGTTTTTATTAACCTAAATCGAAATGACAACTTTCTTTAAGGTATAGCTAGTTTTATTTCTCATAAAAATGTATAGTACTAAAAACTATGGAAACTCCAAATTTCAACAGCAGCACAATCATGTGACTGGCTCATTCAACTGTGATTTATTTGAATAGAAAATTGGCAACAGATTTCCCATATGGATGGGATGTCTACTTCACTACCAAAAAGTCAATACTATGAGCAATGTCAATTGTTAAAATAAATTCTTATAAATGAAATTGATTGAAAATCTTGGACATTAATTTTTTCTAACCAACAAACGCAAGTATGGAAGTGTTTTGCATTCACCTGACAGTCAGGTCTATCATAGACACAGTAGGGATGGGTACTCTGATAGACAGCGCCGTCATCTTTCCTTGTAGCTGAGGTAGAACCTTGCCTAGCGCTGCCGCAGCCCCGGTGTATGTTGGGATCATGTTCTGCAAACCACCACGGCTCTCCCGCCAATTCTGAAAAGAAAGGAGTGATAAACTGTGCTACTTATACCTCAACTAATCAGTTAATCTCTCCACTAAGACTGCAGCACGCTTTAAGCTGAATAATACAGGATGCATGGTCTGTCCAATGGTAGTTCCAAGGAGGGGGGCTACAGGGGTTAAAGCTCATACATAAATGAATTTAAAGACACATCCCTTCCTTAAAAGGTAATGGAAGTTTTTGGACACAGTTCTAGATGATAAAAATGGCTTTAGAAAGTTATCAAGTAGCTTTCGAAATACAAAATTTTCCTTGTACCCCCGTCTTTTCTTGGGGTGTGGATCCACAAACCTCCCAGGAGCCACCCCTCCCTCCCTTGACAAGGTCTTAGAACCCTCATTGGTTCCGTAGAACGGATTGGATAATATGTGTAGCTTTATCACTGAGATCTGTTTGTTTAGCCAGGATGATTTATTGAATGCACAATGTTCAAGAAGAGCAGAGGGTTCTGTTTTGAACTATCTAAGAGTATTAATATAGTCTATTTATGAACCACACAGTTCAACTTCTAAAAACTTCGTCTCACACATAAAGGAAAGTTTTGACTTGTTTATCACTACCTACTTCAGTCTGATCTAGAAGTAGGATTTATAAGACTATGTGTTAAGTTAGCTACCTTTTGAGAGGTTATGCTACCTCAGATGAAATACTTAAAATTAGACTCAGTTAATAACTTTTAGAAACACAGGGTAGGTAGGTAAAACATTTACACTCTTTAACTCATACACTTATGAAAAAGCCAGTATAGCTAAGGTTATTTTAAAAGAAATGTTTAAAAATATGCAATGCTTACACCTCATAAGTACAACTTACAATAAAAGTCTAGCTAGTGAATCACAAAATAAAAAATATCAAAACAAACCTTCTGGGACGCCTGATCCAGTATTCTCTGTGAAGCAGTGATAGCATGCACTGTTGTCATGAAGCCCTCTACAACCCCGAACTTGTCATGTAGCACTTTGGTGAGCGGTGCAAGAGCATTGGTCGCGCAGGAAGCGGCAGAAACAATGCTCATGTTGGTCTCGTACTCGTCCAGGTTGACACCGACCACGAACGTGGGACAGTTGTCTTTACATGGGGCGGCCACCACAACGTGTCTGGCGCCAGCGTCCAGATGACCCTGTCAATAGAGAGTGTTAGCGTCTAGCGAGGGACTAGCTAGGAGGTTACAGAGGGGATTATTTAAAATCAAAGCCATTCTTTGAGATGACTGTAACGTGCTAAAATTAAGGAGTTGAATTTTATCACATTACAAGGAATAATGTTTTATTTGTTAAGCTGGGTTTTCCTAGGCGCGTAGTCGGCCAGCGGAGAGAGGAACGCGGAGAGCGGACTCAGCTTGTCTTAGGTAATTTAATGTTACTGTTTTCCTAGCAGCGGAGCGGAATGCCATGTTAATTTCAATTCCGCTCTCCGTTGTCCGCTCTCCGCTGGCCGACTCCGCGTCTAGGAAAACCCAGCTTTATGAAGAGAGAAAAACAGTCAGCGAAAAATAATAGAAAAATGATATAAAATAATTACTTGGAAAAAAATATTCAATTTCAATCTACAGTATTTGGAAAATATTAACAAGTTACAGCTGGCCCCAGAGTCGGGCATGCGCAGAAGAGTCAACGAGTTGGCAATCGCGGTAGCGGGAGAACCCGCGCATGCGCATGAGGCACTCGCGCATGCGCCCGAGGCTCGAGTGGCGAGCGCCGAACGAGAGTAAAGCTGGGTTTTCCTAGACGCGGAGTCGGCCAGCGGAGAGCGGACAACGGAGAGCGGAATTGAAATTAACATGGCATTCCGCTCCGCTGCTAGGAAAACAGTAACATTAAATTACCTAAGACAAGCTGAGTCCGCTCTCCGCGTTCCTCTCTCCGCTGGCCGACTACGCGCCTAGGAAAACCCAGCTTAACCACGACCGTCAGTCTATCTCCGACCCTCCGACACCGACACACGAGCTGACGAGTTGTTAGAAGTTGTAGTACGAGTTAGTAGAGTGAGTAAATACCAGTATAAGTATTATAACGGATAGTACTAGTAGGGTGCATCAAACATCAATTGCGACTAAGGTACGCTCTATCTACCATTTTCGGCTTTTAGCCATTTAGTAGCCACCAAAACCACCAGTAGCTTGTTTTCCTACTGTATTATAAATCCATACTAAATTTGCAAATTATTCTTACTATTCCTATACAAATTATAAAATCACAATAGTTTTCCTATTCAATCATATAATTTGAATTTCACTGTCAATTAAACCCTACCGTAGAACGCTTACTACCACAGTTATCTACATTCCTATCTGGTAATCAGTCTTTGAACCATAGTATCCTACATCAGATTATCTCCTTTCATTTATTTTTATTTAGACTCAGTTATCATTCATTCCAGTAAAATACCACCTAAACAATTGCCTGGAGCTTGAAATAATTTCATAACGTAGTAGCCTAATATAATAGCTTGCATTACTAATAGCCTATCCTCCAACTATATCAATTGCTTTGCATTAGTTTCCTGCTTGATTTGGTGTGCATTGTTGTATAGATTTGATTTGGGCCAAGTGTATGTACACATTCTCCTAATTGTTTACCCTACCCTTACACAAATCTCCATCCTGCAGACGACCGTCCGATATTATTACCGATTTTCTCCCGCAGACGTCCGTCTGGATTCCATAGTAAACCTAAATAGTGAGCAAAGGCGGCTAATTGGCATCGAATCATCCAAACTTGTTTTAGGCTAAAGAAAATTAATACTTCGATTATTTCAAGCTGTAATCTGGTTTTGTAAGCAGGGGAACAGACACGCGACTCGTGATTACCCCATACCTTACCATTTCAAACCCACTATTACCGTTTATCCATCCAACGACCGTTGGGAAGTAATTTTATCCTTGCCGATGACACTCGGGATAATCCTTACTTCCGATCCAACGACCGTTGGGAACGATCTTACCTTTAACGACCCACTCGACTTATCCCTCCAACGACCGTTGGGAAGTACCCTTTATCCCTACCGATTACAATCGGGATAACTTACTTCCGATCCAACTACCGTTGGGAACGATCTTACCTTTAACGACCCACTCGACTTATCCCTCCAACGACCGTTGGGAAGTACCCTTTATCCCTACCGATTACAATCGGGATAACTTACTTCCGATCCAACGACCGTTGGGAACGATCTTACCTTTAACGACCCACTCGACTTATCCCTCCAACGACCGTTGGGAAGTACCCTTTATCCCTACCGATTACAATCGGGATAACTTACTTCCGATCCAACGACCGTTGGGAACGATCTTACCTTTAACGACCCACTCGACTTATCCCTCCAACGACCGTTGGGAAGTACCCTTTATCCCTACCGATTACAATCGGGATAACTTACTTCCGATCCAACGACCGTTGGGAACGATCTTACCTTTAACGACCCACTCGACTTATCCCTCCAACGACCGTTGGGAAGTACTCTTTATCCCTACCGATTTCAATCGGGATAACTTACTTCCAATCCAACGACCGTTGGGAACGATCCTACCTTTAAAGACTCTCTCAACTTATCCATCCAACGACCGTTGGGAAGTACCCTTTATCCCTACCGATTACAATCGGGATAACTTACTTCCGATCCAACGACAGTTGGGAACGATCTTACCTTTAACGACCCACTCGACTTATCCATCCAACGACCGTTGGGAAGTACCCTTTATCCCTACCGACTACAATCCGGATAACTTACTTCCGATCCAACGACCGTTGGGAACGATCCTACAGTTAACGACCCACTTGATTTATCCATCCAACGACCGTTGGGAAGTAACCTTTTATCCCTACCAACTACACTCGGGATAACCTTACTTCCGATCCAACGACCGTTGGGAACGATCCTACAGTTAACGACCCACTTGATTTATCCATCCAACGACCGTTGGGAAGTAACCTTTATCCCTACCGACTACACTCGGGATAACCTTACTTCCGATCCAACGACCGTTGGGACCGATCCTACCTTTAACGACCCAATCGATTTATCCATCCAACGACCGTTGGGAAGTAACCTTTATCCCTGCCGACTACCCTTGGGATAACCTTACTTCCGATCCAACGACCGTTGGGACCGATCCTACCTTTAACGACCCACTCGATTTATCCATCCAACGACCGTTGGGAAGTAACCTTTTATCCCTACCGACGACACTCGGGATAACCTTACTTCCGATCCAACGACCGTTGGGACCGATCCTACCTTTAACGACCCAATCGATTTATCCATCCAACGACCGTTGGGAAGTAACCTTTATCCCTGCCGACTACCCTCGGGATAACCTTAATTCCGATCCAACGACCGTTGGGACCGATCCTACCTTTAACGACCCACTCGATTTTTCCATCCAACGACCGTTGGGAAGTAACCTTTTATCCCTACCGACGACACTCGGGATAACCTTACTTCCGATCCAACGACCGTTGGGACCGATCCTACCTTTAACGACCCAATCGATTTATCCATCCAACGACCGTTGGGAAGCAACCTATATCCCTGCCGACTGCACTCGGGATAACCCTACTTCCGATCCAACGACCGTTGGGAAAATAACGTCATTTCTCCGACCTATTAATCAGGATTAACCGGACTTTAAAATCCCAACCTATTCCACGATCCGGTTGAAAGTTAGTTTACCACCTTGCTAATCTTATTGTTGGTTATGTGGGCTGTGATGAGACCGAAAACGTAAACTGTTGGACATCGTCCTAAACGTCACGGGTCTGAGCCTTAACCAACAAATAAAACCGGACCTTGGCTTGCTGAGCTTTTTGGACAAATTTTAAGTGTAAACGGCTTTACCAGGTGACAAGAACGTTGTCGACCAGATAAGCGTTACATGACAGTTAGAATAAAGTGACTGATCGTGTCAGTGAGGTTTCCGCTAGCACACTTGTTTAAAAATGCAGGATGTACAAATTCTTCATGTCCTCACTTCACCAACTATCTTGATTTAAACAAACTTTTTCTAGTGTGGTAGTGTGGATTTCAAGCTGACCAAACCATGGTTGCCTATCTTAAATGACTAGAACCAGCAGAGTTAATTGTTCCAGTGTTATGACAAATGTACAATTGTGATCAAAGAAGGGCCATAATTTATCTCTGATTTAAATATACAAGCTTGATTAAAGGTATACGTATATTTATGAAATGTTTTGTGTATTTATAGGTTGAGAAAAAGAAAGATGACATATAGTGGACATTATTTAAGTTTATAACCTTTTTGATATTTTCCTAACAAACTTTCAGATATTACTATAAAGTCTTGATCTCTGACATCAAAAGGCTACTTATGGTACTTTATGGTATGCTAAGTTACTAAGGGTTATGTTACTTGGTTAGTTTGACTTATTATTAAACTAGCTGTACCCACGGGCTTTGCCCCGTTTAACTTCATGAGTATTCGCATGGCTCAATCACGTCCTGGTTGAAGTTTGTTCGCTACGCTCACTCACCTTTAGGTTGGAGCTCGTTCGCTGCGCTCACTTGCCTTCAGGTTAGCTCGTTCGCTACGCTAACTAGCCTCCAGGTTGAAGTTCGTTCGCTACGCTCACTCACCTTTTGGTTGCAAATTAGCTGTTGTCATACATTTAAAACAAATTATAGTGCTGCACCCTGTTGGTAATCCTTGTAACTTGAATTCTATTGAACATCATAGAACAAAACCAACTTGTTTTATTGAAACAGCTGTTAAGATTCATTAATTCCTTTTAAATATGAAAAATCATAAGGTTAACATGGGAAACTCCAGAGCCAATGGGGCGAAGCCCGAGAGTCCGATCAGAATAAAAACTACTTAGTTTTCCTATTTAATGCCGAAAGAATCAGTGTACCAAATTTCAGCCTCCTAGGTAAATGTGAAGTGGGAGAATTAGTGATGAGTGAGTGAGTGAGTGAGTCAGTCAGTGAGGGCTTTGCTTTTTATATAATACTAGCTGTACCCGCGGGCTTTGCCCCGTTTAACTTCATAAGTGAGCTCGTTCGCATGGCTCAATCACGTCCTGGTTGAAGTTCGTACGCTACCTTTAGGTTGGAGGTCGTTCGCTGCACTCACTTGCCTTCAGGTTAGCTCGTTCGCTACGCTAACTCGCCCCCAGGTTGAAGTTCGTTCGCTACGCTCACTCACCTTTTGGTTGCAAATTAGCTGTTGTCATAAATAAAAAAAAAAATAATAGTGCTGCACCCTGTTGGTAATCCTTGTAACTTTAATGCTATTGAACATCATAGAACAGAACCAACTTGTTTAATTGAAACAGCTGTTAAGATTCATTAACTCCTTTTAAATATGAAAAATCATAAGGTTAACATGGGAAACTTACAGCCACTGGGCCGGAGCCCGATGGCCCGATCAGAATAAAAACTACTTGGTTTTCCTATTTAATGCCCAAAGAATCGGTGTACCGAATTTCAGCCTCCTAGGTAAATGGGAAGTGGGAGAATTAGTGATGAGTAAGTGAGTGAGTCAGTCAGTGAGTCAGTGAGGGCTTTGCCTTATATATATATATACTAGCTGTTTGCCCGTTCTACGTACGGGAATCTTGCAGTAAGTTGAAACCTTATATTCAGAACAGGAGTTGGTTTGCATATTTAGTGTGCATTTTTCCAGATATGCTACCAAAACTACTACTGTATAGGAATACATATAAACCTTCGCAAATACAATATCTGACAGTTTCAAAGCCAAAACGTGAATGTAAACATATCAGTGACAGCTAGAAGTGAGAACTAATCCAAACAGCTGATCGTTATTTCATCAAATGTAATAGGAAACATTGGGAGAAAATTTGACAAAAATCAAACAAAATTGGGTTTTTGATGGTTCGTTTTTTTGTTTTCAAAGAAGCCAGGCCATGTTTTTATAGCCCAAGACACTCTCACCAATCCAGTAAATACAGAAAAACGATTAGAACCTTGATCGGTACTCTAGTTTCCTAGGAGTAGGCCGCGTAAAATGACAATTTGGCGTTACAGACAGAGTCACAGAATGGACAGACAGATATACAGACAGAAATTGAGATAAGACTCGTTTCGGCTTTCTTAGTCTATGAAACGTAAAAATAACCAAAAACTGCATGATTCTAAGCAATGTACAGACAAAACTGTAATTTTATTTATATAGATATATATAGATATAGTATAATATATAATATTATATAGAAGATTTATCCAAAACGTTTGCATTGTTTACCTGACATTTCTCCGTCGTTGTGTTTTTCCCACTTGCTTCAATCACATAATCCACACCTAGATCTTTCCAAGGAATATTTTTTGGGTTGGCTTCTTGATAAGTACAGACCTTCCTGCCTAGAAATTAAAATTTTGATTAGTTCAAAACTGCTTTTTAATTTAAATCAATTAATTACGTTTGGTTGTGACATTTCAGTAGTGAGCAGTTAGCTCAAAATAGATTTTTGATTATTTTAGCCCAAAAGGCTCATTTCCACTCAGTAAGCTGGCAAGGCCACTGGCTAAAGGTCTTACACAACAGCTGACATACTTATACATGAACCTCAGAATAAACCCTTGCCAACAAAAGAATTGCTATGGCAGTTCAGTAACAGAATGCTTATGTGGGATTTACTTTTAATGTACAGAGGTATTAAACAAAATATGCCTTATTGATCAAAGACATTCTATGGAATATTTGGTGAGCATTGAACAGGTAACATAAACTTACCTTCCATAACCAGTTGCTTCCCCTCCACTTCCACATCAGAGACAAAGCGGCCATGAGTGGAATCATACTTAAGCAAGTAAGCCATGTACTCTGGCTTCATCTGGGGGTCGTTAACCGCTACGATCTGGGGAATAATAAAAGAGATTTGTAGAAAATATTTTTGAGTTAGTTACCATCAACAGTTTCAAATCTGTAGATAAAATACTGAAAGTAGCATCTTAGACGTGAAAATGGTGAAATTTTTAAAAGTCCGCTTCAGCATAGTCGGTGAGTATTATAACAATTAGTGATCATCATTGTCACAAAGGTTACTTGTTGGAGATTAAGGGAAAAGTTAGAAAAGTAGTACTAATAACTGACTATACTTAAGTGGAAGCATTAAGTAAAACTTTCTGTTTCATTCTGTAGGAGCACAGATAAGACTGTTTCATGGGAATTATGGCATTATTAGCATGCACTACTGTATTATAGTTCAATTTGAAGCTGGAGTTTGTTCTTCAAATGGTGTGTAATCACAAGGCTGTTATTACACACATTCAAATTCAATACATTTTGGGGTAAAAATATTGGCATAAATAGGTACACAAATATGTACTAATCGGATTAAATAGGTTACAGTCCCACCCCCTAATATTTTACAAATCTAGCACTGCTAATAACAATGTTGAAGCTGTATGCAGTTTTATAATAAAAATATTATTTGTTGAGTTGAGCCACCAACAGAGTGCACTGCTGTCAATAACTGATTTCACACTATAGTATACACAGTCTTTTTAACTTAAACAAACATAAAGGTTTATGTAAACTAAAGGTACCTCACAGCAGGTAAAGAGAAATAAAGTAAAGAGACATTTAAGACTATAGCGCGTGACTCTGAATGATCATTCAATAAGACGTTCTTTTAAACTAAATAATTAGATACGACTAGTCTATGTAGATGAGATATCTACTTCAGAAACCAAAAGTCTACGGTGAAACATACAATTAATTTGCTTAGCGGATAAGGCTTCAACCATTCTCTGATTTACCTCTGTGTCTGTTGTGATAATCAAAAGAGAATGGTTTACTGTATAGCTAAAGATCTACAAATTATAATATCGCCAACCTATCACACACTTTACCTCCAAAGGACAACCGTGCTCTGCAGCTATCCTCATCACCATTCTCCCTATCCTGCCGAACCCGTTGATGCCGATCCTGGGATACTCAGATATTCCTTTATCTTCACCTGATCCTTCCTCCGTCTTCCCTCCACACATCACCTTACCTTTCTCCTTCATGTTCTTGCTTGGTCCACACATCTTGCCTTTCTCGACCTTGGAGTCACTTTTCTTATCCTGCTTTGCTGGGCTGCACATCTTTCCCTTTTTATCATCCTTTCCTTTGCTTGCTTTTGAGCTGGAGCAACAAAAAAAGGAAAATAATTGGTGTGAGGTGTTAACATAAATGATAGGAGTGAACAATCAAAACATTTAGAGTATAAAGTTGTTTATACATTACTAGCTGAACCCGGCAGACGATGTCTTGCCTTTGACTATTTATAATCCCGCGGGCTTTGCCCCGTTTAACTTCTTAATTTTCAAGATGATCTCGTTTGCATGGCTCAATCACGTCCTGGTTGAAGTTCGTTCGCTACGCACACTCACCTTTAGGTTGGAGCTCGTTCGCTGCGCTCACTTGCCTTCAGGATAGCTCGTTCGCTACGCTAACTCGCCTCCAGGTTGAAGTTCGTTCGCTGCGCTCACTCACCTTTTGGTTGCAAATTAGCTGTTGTCATAAATGTAAAAGAAATAATAGTGCTGCACCCTGTTGGTAATCCTTGTAGCTTTAATGCTATTGAACATCATAGAACAGAACCAACTTGTTTAATTGAAACAGCTGTTAAGATTCAATAATTCCATTTCTCATAAGGTTAACATGGGAAACTCCAGAGCCACTGGGGCGGAGCCGATTGATGGATCACGAAATTGATGGTGTATAAACCTATTCCATGACATTCTACACGTATGTACCAAGATTCGTGGCAATCGGTTCAGCGGTGTCTGAGTTTATCACTGCCAAACAAACAAACAAACAAATATATATACAAACATCCTCTTTTATACTTATAGATTAACATTTTAATTTTATAGAAAATGGATTAAAACATTTTAATTCACCTTACTTGTTTTTATACTACCTATTCTTTTGTTTCTCCTATTCCCATCTTATTACACGTGATATCACAGTGATATCAATACTGCTTACTTTAATAACCTAAATTATTAACTTGTTATTATCATACAGCAATCCTTCTCTGTATAGATTATCTAGACAGAACTTGTCATATGCTTCCATCCTTCTCATTCACTAACGCACAAACAATATTAACAACTAATTTTAAATTTTGACGCTGCTAGTAGGGACAATGTATTGGTGTTAAAAACCTAAGTCATTAAAAAATCTTTAAAGATGCTAAAATCTCTTCTTCAAAATCTCATCTTTCCTTTAAAAACCAGGTGGTCAGTCTCTCTTTCAGCAGGTTCAATGGAAAATTACACATAGGCTAATGTAATGATAGTAAACTGGATCTGATTCTCAAGTTTCCCTAAACTTTTGTTTTATCTTTTTATTTATAGATATGGAACGTATTCTAGCTTAACAATTTACATATCAGTGAAATATTTTTGCTTTCAAATAAAATTTTTATTTACGTTATAAAATTGTTATATTACCAATTGTAGGATTGTAGTAGATACACTACCTGAAATCGTAAAACCTACTTTTTTTTAGCTTTATTTTGCATTTTTTATGCCTATATTTCAACTTGGAGTAAATACTAGTACACCTAACCAAAAACTAAAGAAGCTAATGTAGTTGAAGAATACCTGTAAAACGTAGAAGGAGGAATTTGAACAGTTCCTGGATTTCCTGGTTTAATCACCAGATGACTGCATCGTTGAATGTTAAGTCGAAGAGAGGGAAACATTCTTGAAAATTTAATTTTACTAAAAATTTTTATCAGAAGAAATAATATTTGAAACAAGAATTTTGTTACAATGTTATGTCAGCTGAGTCAACAAATTATTCAACACCAAGCAAGAAAATTAAGTAAAGTATAAAAGAGAAAACATCCTAACCAAAACATAAAAAATATATAATACACAATTATCCAATCCCATGGTTAAGATAAAATCATTGAACAGTATACAAGTAAGAAATACAAGTGTTTATTGGTTAGAATAAATTTTAATAATTAAATTAGTAAACACTAAAACTAAGAGGGGCCAAATTGAATAAAAGCACTTAAACTAAGGCACTTAGTTGTCAAAGAAAGAGAGCAATGATTAATTCTTAATTACATTTTACACAACCAAAGAGGGGTTCTCTTCAATAACTATTACTTTGAAATAAAGTCCTGTTAGAAAATTACCTTACGTCTACAAATACTAAATCATTACATTGTGTCTGTTTGTCTTCCAGGATTATTTTGAAAAAGAAAAAGAAATTAAATTTGTTAGCCAAAAGCATTGGTTATACAGTATTATGGGTTTAATTATTGTTGTTGTAAGGAACTATAAAATTAAATACAGTTTAACAACCCTTGGTGCTTTACAAAGTTTGAAACTATTTGCATTAATATCCAGTTGAGAGCACACTTTTCATTAATGCATTTTTTATCTTGTTAGTTAAATGTTTCTGTCCGAAACATCAATGGGGACAATCATATGAAAAAATGTGTATTCTAATCGTGTAAAATATTATGTAGGCTATAAACTAATTCTGTTGTAATTTTGGTAAAATCTTAATAGCTATAAAAATAAAGTAAAATAATATCAAAATAAAGTAAAAGTTTAAGTTGTTATCAATGTATACTTCGTATAGAATGTTGTCATGTTTGGTATCCAATAGACAAGTAATTGATCAACAGATTCTTGCTGTCTTCATAATTTGTTTTACTAATATATTTTTATAAACAGCCTTCTTATTCCAGATATAATTTGTTATTGAGCTTCAATAGCTGATAAACCTTACGAGCACCAAATTCAAACAAACATAGAAACAATACCAAACAACAGAAACAAGACCAGAAAAAAATCAACAATATTGTTTACGTAAGCATCTAAAATACACAATATGACATTGATTCGTATTATTCTGCCCTTGGGTATAATCGGGTATTCTTGACTTTTTATGTCAAGTAATATTGGTACATTGATGCTTCACTTAAATTGTTTTGTATCAGTAATTCATTATTGCCTATAGGTGTCACGTTTCAGCATTTTCTAAAACATTCTCAGTTTGCAAGATGGCTTGTTTTACTTGGTATTTTTGGGATGGAGTTCTTTTCATTTTTACATGTTTCCTGTGTAAGATCACTGGTATACTTCCGTCACACGTAAATGGAAAAGGATTTACCTTAGAGAAAATTCTCCATAAGACCACAGGTTTGTTTAACGTTGCCAAAGTTTGATATGACTAGTATTAACAGTCACAAAAAAGAAAAACGCAATAGGCATTTCTGTGCATGAATGTTTTATTGGGAAATCACCATTAAAAATAAAAATTTCTAGGGATAGATTTAAGGTTTAGGCATGTGTTGACTGTATGTTGTTTAGCTATCATACATGGAGTTCTGTTGTTAATTTCATGTTGGCATATATACCGTGCAATAAAAAATCAAGGAGCTATATAAAAAAAAAAAAAACAGAAACACAAATTCACAACCAAAGGAAAAAACCTAATCACAAAAAAGGAAAACGTGCATTGATTATTCAAGTAATTGAATCGTTTTTTGTTTCAGGAGTTGAATCAAAGTCGATCACTGAAAATGACAGTCCGTTTTACATTTATGGGATCGGTTACATAGTTTTGGTTACGTTAGGCATAGGTGCCTGGAAGATATACGTGTCCAGTCATAACCTTGAAATTTCCTTGGGTTATGATTTTGAAGTGAATCGTATTTTCGCTTACATTGTAATCCTCAATGCCCTTCTGTTCAGAAGGAGGAGCACTTTGAAATGTGTGTACAGCGCAGCAAAACTCTACTGCAAGTGTCATCCTTCTTTGAAACCCTGTTGGTTCATTATCTTTTCTATATTATTAAATATAATTTCAATTGTAGGATCTCATCTTTTATTTGTCAACAACGCCAATATTATCCTAGCAGAACAGACTTTGCTGATGCAGCTAATGGTTTTACCCACTTTTGCCTCTGTTTTACTGATTTGCTGCTTGTGCCTTGTTGTTGAAAGATCCTACATCAGCATCAATCGTCAGTTGTTGGGGATGAGGTTGGTTGAACCCTCTGAGAAGACAAGAGAAGAGATTAGAATTCTTATGTTTTACCACGAATCCACCACAGACTTGATGGACGAGGTAGCGGATGCATTCAGCTTCGATTTGGTCGTCCATCTTGCAGACTTTACCATCCAACTGATCTTCTGTTCTTATTCAGTAACTCGTTTGGTTATCACAGGCGATATCAAAGTAATCAAATACTTCATTCATGACATGTCTATATTCTTAATAAGACTATTCAAATTCTTCATGATTTGCTATAGCAGTCAACAGCTTCAAAAACAGGTAGGTTACATTTCTAGTATTTTGAGCTACATAGAGAAAACGAGGGCAATAATCCTGAATACATGTTGTTCAGAATTTTTAATCCAAAATAAGGTTTATAAAGTTATTTTTTTTCTTTTGAGAATACAGTAATGGGATATGTATTAGAATTTGTTTATCTCCGAAAGATCTTACTTACACATCCGTTGATTTTTGAGTTGGAATATTAAAAATTACAAACCTTTATACAAATATTTAGCTATTTATGCTACTAAAACAGCACACAATGAATATTATAAAGTGAAAATCTTTCTTTTTAACACGAAATCTCAAGCTTGTATAAAAGATTACCTCTTTGCAAGTAGGTAGTAGAATAAAAACCACAGAGCATTTAACGTGAACAATTTTAAAATTTATTTCCAGGTAGACATGTTAAGATCAAACATCCAAGCCATCAAGGTCCACTGGCTCACCTTTAGCTGCCCTGATGAAGACATTTTGGTATTAAATAATTTTTAGTTTAAATAATTTCATATTTCGTTCAAAGCTAAGTATATTATTAACATGTTAACATGTTTTCTTTCTAACTTTACTTTGGTGGGTTTCTAAACTGTCTTATCCGCCTCTAGTAATGTTTCATATGCTGACCTTTCCTATAAAAATAAATACGAATATTTTAATGGAAAATACTTTATAAAATTAAATGCTATATGACTGTAAAAGGTTCTATAGCACGGATCCTTAGATTGAGACAAATTATAACGTAAACATTTTAGTGACAGTTTTCAGAAAGACTCTCTCTCTCTCTCTAAACGGCTGACATGTATTTCATAAAGTGACTTGGGGTTCAAAGTACATTATTTTTATCACAAATAAGCTAAATACTACTACTTGTTTGATTGGCTAAATGCATTCACAAACAGTCAGTAACTACAAAAGAAACATTTCAATCTTAATCGATGCTCTAGTTTTCCGAAATAGTCAGCAAATTCAAACTTTGGATGTGTCACTTTTAGACTATACAGAAAATTATATAGGACTCGATTCGGTTTTCTTACGCTATATAAAACGAGAAAATAACTAAAGACTTGACGAGTCTGTTAAGTACAGAAACCCTGTTTTTATATATTCATATCCATAAAAAATTATGGCTTTTACTCGGCTTGAAGCAATTTCACTGACAATGACTACAATATGTTTCAGCTGACAGATTTCTCAGACTCAGTAGAAGTACGTCCAGTTGTATTGTCTGCAGCTGGCTTTACTGAACTCGACTTGTCTCTTATTTTCAAGGTACATTTAAAGTTTAAATATCCTTAAATTAGATTAACCACTTATGAAATTACTGGCAACTCATTTTATTACTAAAAATAATGGATTGTTTTGGTAGAAGCATTGACTATTGGTTACTGTTTATCAACAGTCTTTATCACAGTACTTACTTAACGTTTTATGATAGTTAAAGGTGTTATATTGCAACGGTATTGTTACAAAACGAATTACTTTGTGGGTAATTAATTAAGTAGGATAATTATATAATTTGCAGTGTTCATCTAATTCATCGTAAATCAAAATTGTTTGTTGATTTGTTATAAATTGTATCAACAATTGTATTAATAATATTGCAATATCTGTTAAAAAAGCTACTGCAAATGTATTGGAAGCAGTACCTACCTCTCTTCTCTACATTAAATTGTTTCATATTGGTTTACTAATTATTTATAATCTATATATTAATTTGAAACTGCTTTTCTTTGTGACAGCTAATTTGAGAAAACGGCTGGGCGTAGAAACTCGGTAGAGGTGTCTAAAGAAAGGGCTTGGTCTGTAGATGAGCCATCAAAAGAGAAACGTGGTAAATTCCCTTGGGGCTCTGCCCCAGTGGCGTTTAAATTCCCATCCCATGTTATTCTTATGGGGGGAAACGGGTTTTTGTCACAGCTAATTTGAGAGAACGGCTGGGTGTAGAAACTTGGTAGGCTGGGTGTAGAAACTTGGTAGGGGTGTCTAAAGAAAGGTATTGGTCTGTACTTTATTGCTCTTAGAAAATTTTTAATTATGAAATAAGTGTGACATATCAATTTTAAAGGAACATAATTATTCCTTATCGGGTTAGCTTATATATATTGTAAGGTTGGCACTTGCCTTTTTTTGCCTACTTACAATTACCATTTATTTTTGAATTCAAGAAAGAACACCAGAAATTCATTTATAGTACGGTGCAATTAGACCTAAACCGGGACATCCAAAAAAAAAGTTTTAAACCAGCGCCAAATTGTTGAATACACTTCCCTCAATATGTAAAAAAAAGTTACACTGATTTGAGTGTCGGGTTTGGGGGGGAGGGGGTGAAAATGGGGTAAAAATAGGACTTTTTTTTACTTTTTTGCAAATTCCTCAAAAACGGCGAGTTTTTCTTAAAATACAATGAATTACAAAAATAATCTACATTAAATTTCGAACAAAATGATACCATACAATACCTATCTACAATGAA